GGGGAGGTTCATTTATAGGAGACGGAGAATCGAGCCTTTACGAAATTCTACTAGTTGCTGCAGCACTGGGCAACAAACTCTCTAGAGAAACTAAGGACCGTAGAGCAGCCAGTTTCAGGTATGGCCTCAGTGTTGCCATCCAGAGAGGTAACACCCATTGTTGTTTCCACACTCTAGCATCAGCCATGAGTTAATGTGTATGAGCATGTTCATCCATACAGTGTTCATCCATACAGTGTTCATCCATACAGTGTTCATCCAAACAATGTTCATCCATACAATGTTCATCCATACAGTGTTCATCCATACAGTGTTCATCCATACAGTGTTCATCCAAACAATGTTCATCCATACAATGTTCATCCATACAATGTTCATCCATACAGTGTTAAATCCATATCAGTGTTCATCCATACAGTGTTCATCCATACAGTGTTCATCCATACAGCGTTCATCCATACAGTGTTCATCCATACAGTGTTCATCCATACAATGTTCATCCATACAGTGTTCATCCATACAATGTTCATCCATACAGTGTTCATCCATACAATGTTCATCCATACAATGTTCATCCATACAGTGTTCATCCATACAATGTTCATCCATACAATGTTCATCCATACAGTGTTCATCCATACAGTGTTCATCCATACAGTGTTCATCCATACAGTGTTCATCCATACAGTATTCATCCTAAAGTGTTCACCTACAATGTTCATCATACATGTCATCCAACAGTGCATCCTACAGTGTTCATCCATACAGTTATCATATGTGTTCATGCATACAGTTTCATCCACTACATTTGTTATCCATACAGCATTACATCCATACAGTGTTCATCCATACAGTGTTCATCCACAATGTTCATTCCATACGAGTGTTCATACATACAAGTCATCCATACAATGTCATCATACAGTGTTTCATCCATACAATGTAAATCCTACAATGTTCATCCAACAATGTTCATACCATACATGTGTCTCATACAATGTCCCCATACAATGTTCATCCATACATGTCATCCATACAGTGTTCATCCTAAGCGTTCATGCCTACATGTTACCATACAGTGTTCATCCATACAATGTTCATCCATACAGTGTTCATCATACAATGTCATCCATACAATGTCATCATACAGTGTTCATCCATACAATGTTCATCATACAATTTTCATCACATACAATGTCATCCATACAGTGTTCATCCATACAATCATCCATACAATGTTTCATCCATACAGTATTCATCCATCAGTGTTCATTCCATACAGTGTTCATCATACAGTGTTCATCCATACATATTCATCCATACATGTCATCCTACAATTTCATCGCCATACATGTTCATCCATAGTGTTCATCATAACAGTGTTCATCCATACAGGTTTCAATCCATATAGTGTTCATCCATACAGGTTCTATCCATACAGTGTTCTCATACAGTTTTCATCCATCAGTGTTCATCACTAAAATTTCATCCATACAGTGTCACATACAAGTCATCCATACAGTGTTACATCATACAATGTTCATCCATCTGTCATCCATTACAGTGTTCATCATACAATGTTCTCCTACATGTTCATCATACAATGTCATCCATCAGTTCATCCATACAGTGTTATCCATACAATGTTCATCCATACAGTGTTCATCCATACAATGTTCACCTACAATGTCATCCATCATGCTTTCACATACAGTGTTCATCCCATAATGTCATCCATACAATGTCATGCCATACAGTTCATCCAACAATTCATCCATACAGTGTTCACCAACAATGTCATCCATACAATGTCACACTACAGTGTTCATCCATACAAGTCATCCATACGATTTCATCCATACAATGTCATCCATAAAATGTTCATCCATTACAGTGTTCAAATCCATACAATGTTCATCATAATGTTCATCTCAATTTCATCCAACGAGTTCATCCATACAGTGTTCATTCACACATGTTCATGCATACACTGTTCAACCAAACATGTCTCTACAGTGTCATCCACACAATGTCATCCACAATGTTCATCCATACAATGTTCATCATACAATGTTCATCCATACAGTGTTCATCCATACAGTGTTCATCCAACAATGCTTCATCCATACAGTGGTTCATCCATACATGTTCATCCATACAGTGTTCATTCATACAATGTTCATCCATACAGTGTTCATCCATACAATGTTCATCCATACAATGTTCATCCATACAGTGTTCATCCATACAATGTTCATCCATACAATGTTCATCCATACAATGTTCATCCATACAGTGTTACATACAATGTTCTCCATACAATGTTCATCCATACAATGTTCATCCATACAGTGTGTATCACACAATGTTCACCACACATGTTCATCCATACATGTTCATCCACACATGTTCTCACTACAATTCATCCATACAATGTTCATCTACATGTTCATCCACACAATGTTCATCCACACAAGTTCATCCACACATGTCATCACACACAATGTTCATCCACACATTTCATCCATACAATTTCATCAACAATGTTCATCACACAATGTCTCCATACAATGTCATCCATACAGTGATGTTACTTAGGTTGACACACATGATAAACCCACATTTGCGAATGATTATGCTACCACATGTTCGCAAGCTGATGAACACACACCCTACACACCACCACTCACCACACACCCACACACACACCACACACACACTACTACATCATCTCTGTCACTGATCGTCACCAGTCAAGTATTAACGCCTAGGGACAAGCGGCCAGCGACTCACATACTTACCTCTGACCACATTAAAAAGTACTCAACTTCTAACCTCCTCTACTCTCTCTCTCTCTACCTCTCTCTCTCTCATTCTCTCTACTCTCTCTCATCTCTGTTCACTTGATCTGTCACCAGTGTCAAGTTATTATCACATAGGGATGTTTCCAGTCTTTGCACATCACATTTTGACCTATGACAAATAAAGTAATCAGATTGGGCGAAACCTCACAGTAGACTTTATCAATACCTGTGTTTCATTTAGACTTACTGCTCATATTTACTTTCCAGGCGAGACTGATTCTGGTATTTTATTCCTGGCGAAACATTTTGAGAATAAAAATATGAGGGAAACATCTCCAGGATAATCCAACTTCTCCAGGATTATCCAACTTCTCCAGGATTATCCAACTTCTCCAGGATTATCCAACATCTCCAGGATTATCCAACATCTCCAGGATTATCCAACATCTCCAGGATAATCCAACATCTCCAGGATAATCCAACATCTCCAGGATTATCCAAGATTTCCGTTATATTCACAGCTTTACTTCCTGCTTCTCTCTCTCCTTCCCCTTACTTCTCTTTCTTCGCTTCTTTCATCTCCTCGCTTCCTCCTCCTCCTCCTTCTTCTCTTACCTCCTCTCCCTTCCTTCCCCCCTCCTTCCTGTGTTCCAGCACACCTCTGAGGTCACATTACCTCCAGAATTACACTCAATTACAAGACATTTGTAACACGAGGTAATTTTCACTTCTTGTCTGAGATGGTGAGAGAAGTTAAGCATCACGTCTGTCTCGCGATTACCGGCCGGAGTATTGAGCCCACAGCATTTATTACGGTGCAGTGCGCCACCAGAAGTGCATCCATAATACTCTTGTTTGCGTTGCCTGGTGTCTGCGTGCGTTGCTTGGCGTTGTGTACGTTGCTGATGTGTATGAGCGTTACCTGGGAGCACCGCCTGACGTCGGTGTGCGTTGCCTGGTATCTAGAAGTCAGTGTGCGTTGCCTGATATCTAGACGTCGGTGTGCGTTGCCTGGTATCTAGAAGTCAGTGTGCGTTGCCTGATATCTAGACGTCGGTGTGCGTTGCCTGGTATCTAGAAGTCAGTGTGCGTTGCCTGATATCTAGACGTCGGTGTGCGCTGCCTGGTATCTAGACGTCGGGGTGCGTTGCCTAATATCTAGACGTCGGTGTGCGTTGCCTGGTATCTAGACGTCAGTGTGCGTTGCCTGATATCTAGGCGTCGGTGTGCGTTGCCTGGTATCTAGACGTCAGTGTGCGTTGCCTGGTATCTAGACGTCAGTGTGCGTTGCCTGATATCTAGACGTCAGTGTGCGTTGCCTGGTATCTAGACGTCAGTGTGCGTTGCCTGGTATCTAGACGTCAGTGTGCGTTGCCTGGTAACTAGACGTCGGTGTGCGTTGCCTGGTATCTAGACGTCAGGGTGCGTTGCCTGGTATCTAGACGTCAGTGTGCGTTGCCTGGTATCTAGACGTCAGTGTACGTTGCCTGGTATCTAGACGTCAGTGTGCGTTGCCTGGTATCTAGACGTCAGTGTACGTTGCCTGGTATCTAGACGTCAGTGTGCGTTGCCTGGTATCTAGACGTCAGTGTACGTTGCCTGGTATCTAGACGTCAGTGTGCGTTGCCTGATATCTAGGCGTCGGTGTGCGTTGCCTGGTATCTAGACGTCAGTGTGCGTTGCCTGATATCTAGACGTCAGTGTGCGTTGCCTGGTATCTAGACGTCAGTGTGCGTTGCCTGATATCTAGACGTCAGTGTGCGTTGCCTGGTATCTAGACGTCGAATGATGCTTGAAGACGTTTCCTGACGTTTCTAGTGTTGCGTATCTTCTTCGTGTGTATATTTGCTCTGTTGTTTAACGTTGTTTAACGTCACTGTGTATTGCTTGGTTCTTGTATTCGTTGCTGTCCATAAGTCTACAATATTTGTCTTGTATTGAACTACGTCCCCCTTATGTGCGTTGCTTGATATGTGTACTTACCTTTTCGTGGTTGCAGAGGTCGATTCACAGCTCTTGGCCCAGCCTCTTCGCTGGTCGCTACTAGGTCCACGCTCTCCATGCTTCATGTGTGTGTGTGTGTGTGTGTAATACCTATATATGGTTGCAGGGGACGATTCACAGCTCCTGGCCCCGTTTGTATGTGTGCTTACTGTTGTCAGTATGCGTTATGTGAAGCTGTGTTCCGTGTTTCAGATAAGGTGTGTAAGCGACCCTGGACCTTCGAGCGCCTACCTCACATGATGCTGAAGGACCTGGACGATGCCAGGATTTTCACCTCAACCAAGGAAGGTTGTCTAGCCGCCTGCCTCAACGAGGTAAGCCACGAACTCAGCTTTAATCTGTGATAAACAACTGTCGACGTTCTACCACCTCGGCTACTGAGAACAGTAACCCAGGTGAGACATGTTTAAATGAGGCGAGGCATGAAGCCAGTCATGTCTATATAAAGTAAGTTACGTCAGATCGTGGGTAGGAAGGGAGGAAGTTCTTCTTACCCTTGATATGGGAAAGGTAGCAAACGGACTTTTCACCAAACTCACTGCTGGAACTTTTCTGCTTAAGGACCGGGTCGCGGGGGGCGTTGACCCCATGAACATTCTCCAGGTAGACTGGCTTAGTTTTCGTGCCCTCCACTTAAATCCACTTATATACTGGATAGATCCAAGTATTTTCCAATCCCCTACGTATTGCCAAACCAAAAGACCACTTCAAACCACAGAAGAGGTAGGGATCGAACCCCATAGGATTCGAGTCCATGGGTTTGAATCCCATATCTTTCTGTGATTGGTGCAACATCTGGATACTTTTATTGTAGGCGTTTCGCCATCCATTGGCTTTATCAATACAAATTCAAGGATATAATCGTAAAACTATATAGAAAAGCGCCATTCTTCCTGCCTATGTTCCAGCGTCTTCAAGACTACGGTGATCTTCACCATCTCCAAGACTGAGGGACTGATTACCTCAACTTCTGTATATAGAAACGTCTACAATAAAGATTCCCAGACATTGCAAATGTATAATACCACGTACTGTCACAGCAGGAAAGTAAAAAACCAGCGCTTCTGGACACTAAAGATATTGGAAATAGTAGTCTCGGATCAACGTAATGTCTAAATAAGAGGAGCCATGTTAAATGACGTAAGTCATGACGTGAGTCATGTCTAGAATGAGGTGAACCATGTCTAAATAAGATGAGTCGGGTTTATATGAAGTGAGTTTCAGACCAGAGTGCAGTTAGTTTGAGCTCCTGGGGTGAGATGAACCGTAATGTCATCTCCTGGGGTGAGATGAACGGTAATGTCATCTCCTGGGGTGAGATGAACGGTAATGTCATCTCCTGGGGTGAGATGAACGGTAATATCATCTCCTGGGGTGAGATGAACGGTAATGTCATCTCCTGGGGTGAGTGAAACAGTAATAAGAACATAAGATTCAGGGCCCCTCAGTCTATCCTCATAGGGAAGATTTCTTGTATATGGGATCAACTTCGTCATCCTCCTTTGTACGTTTTCCAGTGCATTTATATCGTTCCCTGGGGTGAGTTAAACAGTAATATCATCTCCTGGGGTGAGTTAAACAGTAATATCATCTCCTGGGGTGAGTTAAACAGTAATATCATCTCCTGGGGTGAGTTAAACAGTAATATCATCTCCTGGGGTGAGTTTAAACAGTAATATTATCTCCTGGGGTGAGTTAAACAGTAATATCATCTCCTGGGGTGACTTAAACAGTAATATCATCTCCTGGGGTGAGTTAAACAGTAATATCATCTCCTGGGGTGAGTTAAACAGTAGTATCATCTCCTGGGGTGAGTTAAACAGTAATATCATCTCCTGGGGTGAGTTAAACAGTAATATCATCTCCTGGGGTGAGTTAAACAGTAATATCATCTCCTGGGGTGAGATAAACAGTAATATCATCTCCTGGGGTGAGATAAACAGTAATATAATCTCCTGGGGTGAGATAAACAGTAATATCATCTCCTGGGGTGAGTTAAACAGCAATGTTATCTGTTCTTCTGCAATTGTTTTCAAATCTCTTACTACAGAGATAAAAAATAGATAGCAAGGCACCACAGTACATCCTTTATTGACATCTCTCTCACACGGTGGGTTTTATCATTTCACAAACAGATATAAATAAGGTCTGTTGGTGACCTGATAAAGCCCACTATTGAAGGTCCTTGATCATTAAGGCGCCTCTTGTGACAAAAAAAAAGGACTTTTAAATGACCTGCATTGCCTTTTTCTTTGTGCCACAGAGTAAATTTAAGTGTCGAAGTGCCGAGTATAACTACGTCACTCTGCAGTGCCAGCTGAGCCAACATGATCGACGTTCAGCTGGTGTCAACGTTCAGATGGTCGAGACTAAAGGAGTTGACTACTTCGAGAACTTGTGTCTTACTGGTGAGTACCTGGCTAGTGCTTGTACGTATGTCTTGCTGGTGAGTACCTGGCTAGTGCTTGTACCTATGTCTTGCTGGTGAGTACCTGGCTAGTGCTTGTACCTATGTCTTGCTGGTGAGTACCTGGCTAGTGCTTGTACCTGTGTCTTACTGGTGAGTAACTGGCTCGTGCTTGTACCTGTGTCTTACTGGTGAGTACCTGGCTAGTGCTTGTACCTGTGTTTTACTGGTGAGTACCTGCCTAGTGCTTGTACCTGTGTCTGTGCCTTGGTGTTGCCAGTAACAGACCCGAAAGTTCGAGTTCTCTTCCCTTCTGTTTGTTTATCGACTTGAGCTTACGTACATACATAACGAACTCGGGGAACGGACAGGATTCCATAATATGTCCGTTTCATTCCACGTCCCTTCTCTTGGGATGTTTACCATCGCGTAATTACGCTTTTCCTCGAGTCATCTAACGCACAATGATCATGGTTACGGTAGGGGTTCACACGCTGATGAACCCAGCGCCGTCATCCCATTTCACTATAATCACTACTCTCCACTGATATTTCTCCTCCAGGTCACTGGTCCTCAGGGCTCTGCTCCTCCAGGTCACTGCTCCTGAGGGCACTGCTCCTCCAGATCACTGCTCTTGCAGGTCACTGCTCCCAAGATCTGCACTCACACACACACACTAACACCTACCATCTTCTTTTTCCCCTGACTAATCATAACAAAGTAGTCATTTCCTGCCTTGCTCTTCTGTTCAGCCTCACCTCGTCAAGTTCAACATACATGTGCTGTTGCAACCCATAACATTATTCAACCTGTAAGTACTTCTAACATTCAAAGGTAATTGATTTGTGATCTCTTGTGCTAAGTTCCTCTACAATTTCCAAACTATTAACAAGGGTTTCCTTGTTTGCCAGAACCAAGTCAAGCAGGTTATTTTCCCTTGTAAGATCTGTCACAAACTGCTTGAAGTCGAAGACACGTGAAATCCTAACACTCACAACGTATTCTTGAGGTTAAATACGTATGCTGACATCTCAAGTATGTTGACATCAAACCATGCGTCTCTTCTGCCTAGAGCATCTCAAAGAACTCATAATAGCAACAGTTAACGAGAAGCTATTGCCTCATCATTTTGCTTTGGACTATTCTTACTATTAGAGAGGTGTCAACTAACATATTTTACGAGTTTCGTGAATATATTTTAGGTATAGTTAAGGTTTGTATATCAGATATAAGACGCGGTGTGAGCTGGAGATTCATGGAGGAACAATTGTGGATGAAAAAAACAAAAGCAGTGAGCTGATAAGTCGATCAAAAGAAGCAAAATACAGCCTTTATAATGACGACGTTTCGGTTAAGAGAAACGTTGCTACCTTACGATGTATTGTCCTTTGTTACGTTTTGCCTCCGGTTAACCGCTGTCAACGGGACCCCTGACGACGTGAACTGGAGGGGATGAACACGGAAGACAACATACCCTTGTAAAGGATTATCATCCTTAATTAGGTTAATGATACTGCGTGCGCGGTTACAGTTGCTCGCTATCACGTCTGATTACAGTCCCCGCGTAGCGTTTCTTCTGCGTCTGCTGGCGTGTAACCAAGACGAAGTTCCCGTTCGGATTTGCATATCGCGTGACCTAATGGAGATACGTGATCTTATGGAGATACATGACCTTATGGAGATACATGACCTTATGGAGATACATGACCTTATGGAGATACATGACCTTATGGAGATATCCTGGAAGCGTTGAAGGAACGAGGGCGGGGAAGACCTCGAAGGAAGTTCATCCAACGCAGGTTTTTTTACGACCAAGTCTATTTCGTACAGGGATACAACCCCATTAATCTATACTTCGTGTGTATGTGTGTGTGTGTGTGTTGTGTGTGTGTGTGTGTGTGTGTGTGTGTGTGTGTGTGTGTGTGTGTGTGTGTGTTTTAATCTGCTTCCCACCTGTGTGTTTTACAATGTCGAAAGGACATTATCACTCTTCCTTGTCTATAACTCTCCATCTCCATGTCTCGCGTTCATCTATCCTGCCAAACCCCTCTTTATTTGTTCTTCCCTGTTTATGTATCCTCCCTGTTTCCTCATCCCTGCTCCTGCTTCCGTTCTCCTTGTGTACTGACCCATAATTCGTACCTACAGCCACGGAGTCGTGCAGCAACGACAGGGAGTACGCCGAACCTCAGCTGGGCGTGCCCAGTGAACGTGTGTCTCACTACGTCGATATTCACTACTACGTCGACAAGGAACTGATGGTGAGTGACTGTTGTTCTTTAGCTCCTCAGCAACGAACGGAGTATCGAGCCTTCAGACAAGGATTACAGAGATTCCCGTGAATGTACTGATTCAACTCCTAAGTTAACTTCATCTTATACAGCTTCCCACTTTACTTCACAACCTCCCACGCCACCTCACAACCTCCCACGCCACCACACCTCCACAACCTCCACCCACACCTCCCACCCACCTCAAACCTCCCACGCCACCTCACAACCTCCCCCACACCATTTCAAACCTTCCCCACACCACCTCACAACCTCCCACGCCACCTCACAACCTCCCACGCCACCTCACAACCTCCCCCACACCATTTCAAACCTTCCCCACACCACCTCACAACCTCCCACGCCACTCACAACCTCCACACACCTCACAACCTCCTCTGAGGTCGTTAACACGTTCAACAACTCAACCAAGTTGACTCTCACTTACAAAGCATCACGTTTCCACCGCTCCAACACCCACCTCAACCCCACGCCTCCCTCCGCTCCACACCCACCCACCGCCATCCTCACACCTCCCCCAACACCATTTCAACCTTCCACACACCTCACAACCTCCCACGACCACCTCAACAACCCCCACTCTTTCCCTCCCCAACCACCTCCAACACTTAAAAGCATCACAAACCCAGGCACTCACCTCCTCTGAGTCACACCTTCAACACTACAACATTGTAGTAACTTTATTTTAAACACGTTTCCCACCAGAGCTTCTCAACCCGCACCTAACAGTTGATGAGCAGCGACTCCAAGACATCGTCCAAGTACACTTCTTCTATCAACTTTCTACCGACTGAAGAAGCCTACTGTGTGAAACTCGTTCCAAACAAACGATACCTAACTTAGCATTTTTCTACCTCAACACCGCACCTAACACCGTTCCTCTCCAGAGCCAACCCCACAACAGACGTTGCCTCACGCCTCTAACACACCAACAGACGCCGTTCCAATCCACACACCTCGCCTGACGTTCTCCCTCCTCCCCAACAGGCCAACAGCGTGGCGGCTTGCAAGAGAGCGTGCGAGATCGAGAACGAGTTCCTGTGTAGGTCGTTCCTGTACAAAGGACCTCCTACTGGCACCACCTACAACTGTCAACTCTTTCACCTTGACCACTATACCCTCCCTGACGGACCCTCCACCTTCCTTTCCACTGACAGGTAAGATTTAGATTTAGATTTTGCCACCGAAGTGGCTAGTTGATTGTGCATACCATATCCATCCTGTGGAAGTAGTGCAAGAACATACAGATACACGAAAGGCCTAGGAACTAGGCCCCAAAAGGGTTAACAGGAGCACATCTGGATTTGCATATAGTTCACTTATCTCTTACAAGCAAATTTAGGAAGTTTGCTTGACATATCTGATATCTTATTTTCATTAATAAGATATCTTAACATGTCACATAGGTAAACATAACAATATTTAATGTAAGACAGACAAAAATTGATGAGTAAGATATAGTATCTTTACTACTAAAACGTTTAGCTTACATTACAGGGTTCATTAGTCAAATAAACAGGTGACAACACCAATGTCTCAAGTATTGTTTTTACCTCTGTATTCGACTGAAGAAACCTGTCGTGCAGGCGAAATCATTTCCCCAATAAAGATCCCCAGGTGCTACATCTGTGTCTTATCCATCAACTAGTCGAGATTATATGCTTAAAGAAAATTCAATAAGATATATATTGAAAAGTTAAAGAAACATCAATTTTATTTCGAGCCCCAACAGTTTTTTCGTCGTGTGGCTTAGCGAGGTGTCATTTAGCACATGTAAATATGTCGTGAAAATACTGGTTATATTTAAGATTAATTTGTGGAAAGATGGATTTTGTTATGGTAGTTTTGTGGATGTGACCAGTGTGTTCTAACTGCCTATTGGTACACCCAAGGCCTCTCCTGGATGACGGTCAGCGCACTGGCACCTACTACGAGAATGTCTGCAAGGGTGAGTGTACACCATTATCCATCTTCAAGATCACCTCATATAGAAATAAGAAACACTGTTGGTGCTGCCATTTTACTGTCAAGATGTTTGGGCTGCCAGTGGCTTTATCAGTTCACGAACTGACAAGTCCCGGATGGGCGAAACTTCTTCACAGTAAAATGTATAAACCAGCATTGTGTGTTTTATTTACACGCTGTAGGTATGACCCTTTGTCAGCACCGTACACTAGACCCGCTCCTTACTGTTTCCTGAAGTCCACCTGTATTGGTCCGTCTCTATTTTCAAAATATATATACATCATTGCAGTCTCCATTTCGATTTTAACTTTTTTTCCCCGGCCATTGTATTGTGAATTATATTCTCCATATTTACTGCGTCTCAGTTTGCCTAAGGCAAGTCGAGTAAGACTGCTTAATTTTGTTTCGCTGAAGCCTATGCTATGGCCAGGTGGGCCAGGTGGACCAGGTGGACCAGGGAGAGGTAAAGGTATGTGTCCTGGTAAGCATTTCGTCAATTACATATGACTAAGACCCGCGTTAGGAAACACTTGTCCTGTTTCCTGACAAACTTAACCTAACCTGCCCAACTTGAACTTGCATGACTGTAAACCAGTGTATTATTAGTTCCGCTTTAAATATCAATGTAATCTGCAGCTTTGTAACATTTGCAATGTTAATATTACGTACTTATACAATTAAAGCACTCAGAACTTGGTTAAGCTAACAGTCACCATATAAATACGGTAACGTAGCCTCTATAACCTGGCATAATTAACAACGGCACTAGCTGTAGTCCGGCCTAGACTCTCTCATGGTTGGTGCATAGTGTAGTGTTTAGATTGTGAATTTAGTGTAGATATTGTTTAAACCCTTGTACATGTGTAATGCAATTCCTTCTTTAGTAAATAACACAATAAAGTCTAAAATTAGGGATATGGAGAGACAGAAGGTGTAAGTATGACCTTATTTACTCTCCATACGTAACCACACACCACAACCACACTCCACAACCACACTCCACAACCACACTCCACAACCACACTCCACAACCACACTCCAGCAACAGTACCACCACAACCACACACCACTGACAGTACCACCACACCCACACACCACTGACAGTACCACCACAACCACACACCACTGACAGTTGAAGATTGAGACACTTATGCAGCATATGGAAATCTTTATTCAGGAAACGTTTCGCCACACAGTGGCTTCATCAGCCCAATACAAAGAGGAAGGCGTAAGGAGAGGAGGAGAATGAGGTAATCAGTCCCTCAACCTGGAGTCGATGTGTTCAGTCCATCAATCTACATCCATCTACAAGATTGATGGACTGAACACATCGACTCCAGGTTGAGGGACTGATTACCTCATTCTCCTCCTCTCCTTACGCCTTCCTCTTTGTATTGGGCTGATGAAGCCACTGTGTGGCGAAACGTTTCCTGAATAAAGATTTCCATATGCTGCATAAGTGTCTCAATCTTCAACTTGTCGGTTTTTCAAACCATTCATCACCACTGACAGTACCACCACACCCACACACCACTGACAGTACCACCACACCCACACACCACTGACAGTACCACCACACCCACATACACCACCACTAACTCACGCAAGAAGAGTCATATCATCACTCCTCAGCACAGACAATCCTCTTCATCTTTCTAACTGACACAAATCATTGTCTTCGTGAAATCTAAAATCACTTCTGCCTTGCATATGATGTCCTTCTGACGCGACTCCAGTAATATACCAGTGTAGCAGAGACACAACTTTGCTCTGACATTCTTGAAGTCTGAGAACCACGCTGATTTTTCCACCTTTTATTCCTAACATTTACTTTCTTGAAATATATGTAATACACAAGTTCACGAAGTCGTAATAACACAGTTACGAACAAATCACGGAACGGGTGGGGTAGGAACGCGTGGCTAGTGAGTCCTGAAACTCCAGGCCAGTGCGTTAACCATTCAGCCAGCTGGTTTACTGATCTCTTGAGTTTTGGGATTCACTTAGAATGGGTTCAAACCCCACCCGGTCTGTGATCTGATTATACACAGACCTTCGTTTGTCTTCGCCACTGTTCGGTTTCTCTGTGACACAAACCTCCTTGGTCATCATGCTGAGCACAGACCACCACATCTTCACTACACTGTAGTCTTCTGTAACACAGACTTCCTAATTCGTTACACAGATCTCATCTCAGCACATCTTTACGTATTAAACCTCTTATGGCCCAATTCTCACGTCTTTTAACTAAAACTAACCACTTTCCTATTAAAATCTTGCACGTCATAAGACACGTAGTCGTTATCATAACAGTAATCTTCATTCCCCTGACATGATCTACAGCGTTAGAGACTCACTACCACTGACCTTTCCTCTTGACCTCACGTGACCTTACAGAGGCGAGGGACAATATGATCTGTAAGCAGGTGACCACCAGAGACAATCGCTACATCACACAGGTTATGTGTTTTGACAAGACCTCCATCTCTCGAAATGTCAACATCGAGGGAGTGGAGGCGCTGGGTAAGACAAAACCGCTACTCCCTTCTTTTTGTCAGTCGAAAACAAGAAGGCTTATTGGCTGTTTGGGAGTCCTTCATCCAATATCGAAGACTCGTGGTGATTGGTTATTTCGGCTTTTAGTATTCCCGTCTGAGCTCCCTCACCATTGGTGAGGCTTTATGTGTAAATTCCTGGACATTCCATATTGAGAGTATCTGACTAAACATGACATAAGACGGAGATCAATCTTTCACTGATGGAACGTTTCACCCTGCGCAGAGTCTCACCCAGTCGTCATTAAGATGACTCTACACAGAGCGAAACGTTATCCTAGTGAATGCTTGTTCTACCTGTCTCACTATTGTTGTTGGCAGTACGACATTCACATCTATGAGATTCATCACTGACTCGCTAAGAGAGAATTATCCATCAGTTCCTCACTTTTATTCTCCCTTTTACACTCCTTACTAACCATTTCCTGTGAATATTAGTCCTTCCTAAATCTTTTACTTATTAGATGTACATGACCCACGGTATACTAATCGACTAACCCGACGCTTGAAGTCAAATGTCTAAGGATCCATACACATATGACCCACACATAGGAGAAGAAAACCTATGTGTGGGTTATTGGTGTGTTGTTCCAGTCAGGTTATTGTGCCTTCTTATTCTTTTTACAAGGTTCATCTGCTCTTAACGAAGAGTCAATTCCTCTAGGAGAAAAATCTTTGGGCAGTCGTATAGACTGGAATGCTGTACTAACACTGCACAACCATAGACTGGAATGCTGTACTAACACTGCACAACCATAGACTGGAATGCTGTACTAACACTGCACAACCATAGACTGGAATGCTGTACTAACACTGCACAACCATAGACTGGAATGCTGTACTAACAATAATATTTTATGTATGTAGGTAGCATGATTTACTCACTAACAAGCATTTCACTGTCATCTTGAGCATGCGCAGAGTGACGTTCTTGCCACTAACTGTTTTCTTAACAAATGTTTTATATTGTTATATGTCAACTTGGAGCTCAGGAGCTGACAAGATTGTGTTACAAGTTAGGCATTGTTGACACTGTCACATACACTCTGAAGCAGTACTCTGGGAGAGGAGAGTGATGCTACTAGTAACTTAGTACTCTACGTGGGAGGGTGATGGTAGCAGCAACCTACTCCGTACTTTAGGTGGGAGAGTAAGGATGCCACAGCTTCCTAACACCACTTACAACTTACGTTAGATAAAGCTGAGAACACATAAGGAGCACTGGTGTTCACACAGAAACAATTAGATAACTACATATTAGATCACAAAACCACATACTCACAAGGATGTTAGAGCGATTTTCCTGGAAAAATGGTTGATCGCTGTACTGGTATCCAAGAGGAAGTTGAATTTTCACGAAATGTAAAATAATATGTGAGTGTTATGGTTGAAGACTAATTAAAGACCAAAGAAACCCACGTCTGTTTCTTTTTCAGGCGATGCCATAAACATAACAGTAGATCCCACAAGCGAAAGTATAGATGATATGATATAAATACAATGTGACGCATAGAGTTCAAATCAATTTTGGATCCTCTGGTAAAGGATTACGTTAGCTGCTGTCACTTCACAGTTCCAAACACTAGCTAAGTAACATGGAACACCACCATCATAACTGCTCATTTCTTTTTTACACATGTCAGTTTTGCAGGCCAAGAGGTGTTATCCAACCTCACCTCATTTCTAAGCCCAGCCCTATCTCAGGTATACTACATCCCCCCAGGATGCCACCCACAACAGTGGACTAACATCCAGGTACCTACTTTCTGCTTGGTGAACAGGGACAGCAGGTGTAAGGAAACATGCTCAACATTTTCACTCGTACCGGGGATCGAACCACGGATACTAAGTATGTGAGCCGAATGCGCTGCCAACCAAGCCATTTTAACACCAAACAGGAGGTCACAAATTGACACTCGCACACTCCCGTAGACATTATCGAATTACAGAGATGAGTTAGAATTTTTTGTGTAAATCTTGGTAAATGTGATAACTTTGTGATTCTCTCTGCAAAAAAACATAGCTGATGCTTAGGTAAGGTCTAAAGTAACTTTTTCTGGTAGTGAAACAAAGCCTGAGATAAATATCGGATGCTGGGATAAGCAGCAACAGCTTTCTTGCAGCTAAACCCATAGGGATTTATGCTGAGAGTAACTAAATTGCCTTACAGGTGGGGGATACGACGGCAGCACCGGCAGCGGGAGTCTGGTCACACCGAACCCCTCCAGCTACCCCGCCAGTGGTGACTACACCTCACAGGGGGGTGGCAACAGTGGCAGTGGCAGCTCTACACTGGGTGGTGGCTCCGGCAGCTCTTCTTCTTCCTTGTCATCGTCGTCCTACGGCACGACTCTCAGTGGCCAGGGCACCACTGGACGACCCACGGGGGAGAATGTCAACTGCGACTCAACTGGAGTTTGCTACGACGGTGAGATCTCATGTTACATCAATTTTAGCTCCATTTTCTCAAAGGTGAAAAAACTCCTCCAGTGAGTGCATTTTTCCTTTTCCAGATGTGATCCCCTCTTCTAGCAGAGAAGTAAAATTATACGACGTTTTAGACAAGTTTGCAATCGTGTCGTTACGTTTTCGTGAATCAAGTTGTGGAAAATTAGCTACCTTCATATCTTCCATAATTATAAATATTTGTGATAATTTGCGTAGATAGTTTCTGGTTGGATTAAAAAAAAGGTTATTAGAAGTTTCCGTATTTATATTTCCCTGAATTTCCATAGAGATGAACTGAATCATCAGCCGAAACTTGGTTTTCTTCCATAGTTTGCCTTTGGCAGACATCGAAGCGGTGTGTTAATTAGGTTACAAACTTAAAATTTGTGTTTGCAGTGTCTGTACACTGCAAGGACACGAGGATCGTTGTTGAGGTGAACACCAACCAAGCCTTCAATGGTCGTATCTACGCCCTGGGTCGTTCAGAGACTTGCAACGTCCAGGTAGTTAACTCAGACAGGTTCCGTCTCGACCTCTCCATGGCTGGCCAGGACTGTAACACTCAGAGTGCTGTGAGTAAACAATACCTTACGTTCATTTTCTTTGTTCCTTCTGTCTGTTTTGCAGCTTTTATATCTCTTTCGAATTATATCATCTCCCTCTGCCACCCTTCTCTCCCTAGGGCGACTTATTTTACCATTGTGTTGTGTTTCAGAACGGAGTGTACACCAACACAGTGGTCATCCAGCATCATTCCATCGTCATGACCAAGACGGACAAAATCTACAAGATCCGCTGTACCTACGACATGACCTCCAAGAACATTACCTTCGGCATGCTGCCCATCAGGTACGTCGAAGTCTCGACCTCACTCCTCTGCTTGCTGTTCAGCATCTCAGTCTAACTAACTGCTGCACATGCTTGCTCTTATTGTGCTTATGGCACTGATATCTTAACCCAAAATACTCCCACATTTCCATCAGGTCCACCAATAGACTACTAATAACAGTCTCTAAATATAAATTCCTCTTCGCCATCATCCTGCTGCATAAATGCCTATAGAAAATACATGTGAAATCCTTGTAGGTCCTTAAAAAAAGAGAGAACATTTTAATTACATTTGTAACACGACAGACGTTTCTTGCTGCAGATGTTATTTAATTATGATATACATTTTACAGCAGTTCAAGCGAGCACGACCCCTTATCCAACACTCTGATTATCCGGTAAGGAGTGGCTGACAGGTGTTGTGAATCACGGTAGACGGTTGCTGGCTTCAGGGTGGCCCCGAGCACACTAACTCTAGCTCTTTCCAGTTCTCTAGATACTATATGACTTTTGGGTAGATTCCTGCTCGTCTCTGTAGGCACTGATCCAGTAGACGAGGATCCTCTACAGTGGTCCATAGACGAGGATCCTCTTCACTGACTCGTAGGCACGACCCTGTAGCCTGGCGACACACACTTCCAAACTTGGACTGTAGACCCGTATTATAGTGAATGTGTTGTATCAATGAATGTGTTGAATTTTCAAATTGCCTGTCACAAAATCTTGATCGTAAGCGCACACTCTTCTTAGTCTTACTGCATGACGAGATCTATTTATCATGCCATCTGACAGGCTATCAAAATATAATTTTTAACATAGTCTATTATCTTCCTAACAATGACATCCACAACACCGTATACGGAAATTGTCTAAAAATGCGTATAATATACCCTTAATGTGTGTTTTAATAAAACATGTTGTGGAATTACGTTACATATAATTTCAGAATGGATCAACTTTATGGTTTAAAATATCGAGCATTTGCAATAAAGATAACTTTTTTTCAGCTTCTCTTTAGCAACGACTGTCGGCAAACGACATAAGTTATTTGTAGCAGTTTTCGTTTGACAAGAGTTAACAGTTACCAGCTACAATGAAACGTAACCGAGAGAATATTCTCTTTTCATGAGTAATTTGTTGGGTCATTTATGGTGTGCTGGCTGGTGACGAGGGATGTGCAAGCTGTGACTTGGCCACAGAGTTCATAGATCAATGATGAAAGATTTGTTAACAGGTCGATTCTCCTTAAGAATCTTTCAACCTTTCCTTTCCTTCCCTGTGTCTGACCTCGAGGCTCGCCTGGAAGCCTGTGTCTGACATCGAGGCTCGCCTGGAAGCCTATGTCTGGCCTCGAGAGGCTCGCCTGGAAGCCTGTGTCTGACCTCGAGGCTCGCCTGGAAGCCTATGTCTGGCCTCGAGGCTCGCCTGGAAGCCTGTGTCTGACCTCGAGGCTCTCCTGGAAGCCTATGTCTGGCCTCGAGGCTCGCCTGGAAGCCTGTGTCTGACCTCGAGGCTCGCCTGGAAGCCTATGTCTGGCCTCGAGGCTCGCCTGGAAGCCTGTGTCTGCCTCGAGGCTCGCCTGGAAGCCTGTGTCTGACCTCGAGGCTCGCCTGGAAGCCTATGTTTGGCCTTGAGGCTCGCTTGGAAGCCTGTGTCTGACCTCGAGGCTCACCTGGAAGCCTATGTCTGACCTCGAGGCTCGCCTGGAAGCCTGTGTCTGGCCTCGAGGCTCGCCTGGAAGCCTATGTCTGACCTCGAGGCTCGCCTGGAAGCCTGTGTCTGACCTCGAGGCTCGCCTGGAAGCCTGTGTCTGGCCTCGAGGCTCGCCTGGAAGGCTCTCCCACACCCTCTTCTCCACGGCAACCACGACATTCAGTCTCTTGTTCTGTCTTTGCACGTGTTGTAAAATCTTGACATCCCTCGTACACACGACTCAAATCTGGAGTGATTAAGGCTGTGACCAAAACAATTAGAGGATCCTTAAAAAGCACAGACTTACAGAAGGAAATGAAGCAAGCTAAAAAATCCTACATACATGTAGATCCTCCAGATACTACCGTGATCAAGAGTGCCCAGCCAAGTTGGTCGTTGCATCGAGATAGGATCTTAGGGCAAAAACCGAACCTGGAGCTAACACGAAGATATTGCTTTATTTATATTGACAAAACAACCTTTGATCAAGAAGCCCCCTCACTGGCATGAAGGCCGTGACAGGTAGTACTGTTGTTCCCTGGAAACAACCTCCCCACCCGGTGCACCTCAACCAGGATAAAGCCTCCAGAACTGACTGGCAGCTTTAGCACAACTGTCAGATTAGACAAGAGCACAAACCATACAATCGTCTTTCAACTAACCTCGCAACAAGGTCCCCCGTCCAGTATAACAGCAAAAGATGTTAGTGGGAAAAGATATATATATATATAATATATATATATATATAATATATATATATATATATATATATATATATATATATAATATATATATATATATATATATAATAAATGTCGTGCCGAATATGTAAAACTGGTCAGTTAGCAAGAACTCATTTAAAATTAAGTCCTTTCTAAAATTTTCTCTTATACGTTTAAAGATATATTTTTTAATTAATGTTGATATAAAAATTTATAATTTGCACCAAAAGGAACTTAGAAAACTTACCTAACCTTATTATAACAAGCGCAATTTATTTTAGCCTAACCCAACTAAATATATTTTAGATTTGTTTACAATAATTCAATACTAAACAAACACAGTGAAATATATTTTTTTTCGTTAGGTTCAGAATGATTTTGGCGAAATTATTGCATACACAAATTTTCACTTGTCTTATATGGCAAGATGAGCCTTGCTATTTAAGCCAAGATGGCAAGTTCTGCCTATTCGGCACGACATATAATTATATATATATATATATATATATATATATAATATATATATATATATAATATATATATATATATATATATATATAAACATTATCTCTACGTCCACAGTAGGACTCGAACCTGCAAACTCTGTATCAAAGTCCACGGTACTTTACCACAGAGGCTCCGTGGACTCTGATACAGAGTTTGCAGGTTCGAGTCCTGCTGTGGACGTAGAGACAATACAAATAATTTCGCCTGTTTGCGAATTGTTAAGCATATATACATGTATATATGTATCCCTAACTGCACTTCTTCCTTCACCCTCCCTTCCCTCCCTCCTTTCCTCCCTCCTTCCCTCCCTCCTTCCCTCCACTATGCACAGGATTGTGGCCTATCCTCCGCACTGCCAGAAGCCTTGATCAGCAGATCAACAGCACTCACTGTAGACACTTCTGACAAAACCTGCTTTGTACCATTAAGAATCAATTTACTCACTATTCCGTTTGTTTCCAGTAAATTTTGGCGCTCTTTGATGTAGATGTTTTAGTGTTTATATATATATATATATATATATATATATATATATATATATATATATATATATATATAATATATATATATATGTTTGTCTGCATGACTTGTGTGTATGTGTGGGTATGTTCTTGTACGTATGTGCTTACCACAATGATAATACATATATTTTCTCGTTTGATGTACTGAACGCAAGAATACGAATCACAATACAATAGCTGGAACAATTCATAACCCTTAAATTGGACATGAATGTTTTGAAGCCCTGATAATGGTTCAGGAAAGATCGAAAGGTCAAGTAGTGGTTCGTGGAATAAATGTTTAGTTGTGGATATTGTTCAGTATGATGAACGAGGCTCGAGTGTGAGAATCGCATCACACATTATATACTGACATCGATTAGTACTTATGTACGAATCAGTAATGATGAAGATTGAGACACTTATGAGACCTACTTCGACTAGTGGATGGTACCACTATGACCCCGCCTCCATCTGCTTCACGTCACCTCACTACAGTATATAAGCCACGTCTACGGCCCTATGCTGTACATTCTACAAGATTGATGGACTGAACACATCGACTCCAGGCTGAGGGACTGATTACCTCATTCTCCTCCTCTCCTTACGCCTTCCTCTTTGTATTGGACTGATGAAGCCACTGTGTGGCGAAACGTTTCCTGAATAAAGATTCCCATATGCTGCATAAGTGTCTCAATCTTCAACTTGTCGGTTTTTCAAACCATTCATCACAACGAATCAGTAATATAAGAAAGAGCACTTTTGGAGGCCTACTGGTATATTATAGGCAGGTCCAAGTCACACCCACTTAAGTAGGTAGAACAGACCTCGCTGTTAATTACCTCACTGACAGTCACCCCACTGACAATCATCCCAATGACAATCACCCCATTGACAGTCACCCCATTGACAGTCACCCCATTGACAGTCACCTTGTTGAGAGTCACCTAGTTGACAGTCATCTCATAGACTAGATCTTCTCAGTTTGCAGCCTGGAGCCTCTGGTGAAGGTTATCAAGTCGTTACGGCTTGACAAAGCTCCTGGAGAGCGAAACGTCACAATAAAATGTCACATTAGTCGCACTTGTGTCCTTTTTACCAAACATATTATCGGTAATTCTACCAACATTATTACAGTGGTGTAACTGTGTTTCTCCTGCCAGGGGGGGGGGGGGGGGGGGGGGGATCCAGACATGATTCCCATCACCTCTGCCCCAGAGGCTCCTCCACCAAGGATCCGCATCCTGGATGCTGCTCTCAGGGAGGTCGAGACCGTCCGCATCGGTGATACTCTCACCTTCAGAATCGAGATTCCTGAATCAAGTAAGTTAAAACCACCTATTATTATTATTATTATTAGGTCATTTCCTTTAATCAAGAGCCCTGCATTAATGTCATGATCCCATGCCCTTTGAAGTGAGAGGCGCCCAAGACTTTAAGGCAAACTTTAATATTTTCTAAGTTTAACGCTTCTATTTTTCTAGTTTTTTTTTTCTACTGTATAAACGTGAAAAATTTGCAACATTCTTTTAACGTCTAGATTTAATTATCATCTGAACCTAGTTAACGTCTAAGGTTAATGTCTAGTTAACCTAATTAACTTCTAAGCTTAATGTCTAGTTAACCTAATTAACTTCTAAGCTTAATGTCTAGTTAACCTAATTAACTTCTAAGCTTAATTAATGTCTAGTTAATCTAGTTAACTTCTAAACTTAATTAATATCTAGTTAACCTTGTTAACGTCTAAGATTAACTAATGTCTAAATCTACAACCCTGACACGTTCAAAGTTTTAACATCACCTGTTGAGATCCTACGTCGCCTGGCTCAGAGAACCGACAAGTTGATAAATCAGACAAGAATACAATGTATGCGCGTAGTGGTGGTCACTTCTTCGCGTATATGCTGTAATCTTTTCAAGATTGATTACCTCAAACTCCTTCAGATCTTCACCATTCTTCTCTGTACAGAACTGATGAAGCCACTGTGTGGAGAAGCGTTTCCTCAATAAAGATACCCAAATGTTGCATATGTGTCTAATTTATCAACTCTTGATGAAGCCAATGGTGGGCGAAACGTCTACAAAATTAAGATACCCAGATGTTGCACGTATCTAATTCATTATCGGTTATTTTGCTACTGAAATTTAGTAGTCAAAATAAAGAGGAAATAAATTCTTCAGTATTCCAGCCACATGCTACTAATAACAGCCTAATATACACTAACATTTGAGAAATGGATATTAGTGGTCGAAGTCAACCTTTTTTTTCCCACAGCTCCGTATGGGATCTTCGCTCGCAGCTGTGTTGCTATGGCCAAGGACTCCCGCTCCACCTTCCAGATTGTTGATGACGATGGGTAAGTGTTGTTCTGAGTGGCGTCTTCTTCCACCTGAGTGGCGTCTACTCATGACAGTCTTCTCCTTTAGGAGGCCTGTGTGGCTGGTGAAGGATGACAGCCCATCCTACAGGATAATCTGAAGCATGACATAATCCTTAATGCACTACCGTATCTATTGAAGGCTCATTTCACTGTCTTTAACTATATTCTTGTGTCTTTTGAAGAGTGACGTCCGAATCCTTTTGAATGTTTGTGTATGTGTTGAAGGATGACATATTCATCCTTGAGAATGTTCGTATGTGTGTTACAACATGTGCTCCAACATCACTATTACCCAGAGCACCGAGCATTAGCCTGTTTTCTTCTATGCTTTCGTATGCATAGAAGATATTCAAGATGTTTTTCATTGATTTTTTTTTCAAATCTACTGCATTGCATTAAGTATGCAATATTAAAACCCTATAAAATCAATACAAAATACTGTAGAATTAAAGTCAATGTGAAATACAATCCTGAGAATGAGCAGTTTCGAAATACTTCATATAAAGGATAACAAATATATTAATTTTATGGAAGTCATGCTAAACAAAGGAGCAGCAGGAGACGCTACTGTTTACCATCAGTCTGTCTGACACAGCAACACCATGGTATCTTAATACAGACGAAGTCTTCTGCAACAAGTTTTTTCTGTTCCTCGTCCATCTCGTAACACGACTAACTCTCCCTTCTTTCCCAGGTGTCCAGTGGAGCCATCTATCTTCCCACAATTCACCAAGGACGGCCCAGCGCTACAGTCTGTGTACGAGGCCTTCAGGTTCACCGAGTCTTACGGAGTTATCTTCCAGTGTAACGTAAAATATTGCCTGGGACCCTGCGAACCGGTAAGTACTTCTTGTAGTGTGTTGCCAGATACGTTCTGTGAGCCTGTGTACCGACGAGTTCCTGTCTGCAGTGTTGTGATGTACGAGGAATGTAACGTTGTTTATTATCGGGAACATTGTATCAGGCAGACAATTACCTCGTGTAGTCTCCCCTGAGAGACAGGCCTCCACCTCAACCATTGTTATACTGAGCTGTAAGTATCATTTCACAACTGATAATATTTGTAGAGTTAGTACCAATACTGAGTAATGAATTTGCATACAGTTGGTGCTAATATTGACTTACTGTTAACTCAGGGTAATTGAGTTGCAATACCGGCCTCCCCTCTATACAATAATACCTGGTTTTCAAACCCATTTATCATAACACCTAGAGTGTTTGACTTTTAAATATCTCTCTCACTATAACGTTAAATTTTAGCATCGTTAAATCGAGTCCACAAGAGCGCTAAAAAAAATATTTCTTCTAGGCGTTCTGTAGAGAATTTCACTCGAGGAAGGTGGCGCCTGGATGCTTATGTTTATGTGACCTTAGTATTGATGCTATCCTTCCCTTCCTTGCATTAAACTTGATTACTTTCCGTTCCTCAAGCTCTTTATGACACCTAATGATTTAGCGCTTCCCCGTGAATGTATTGAGAATCTGTGTACTATGCCAGAAGTGTATGTACAAGGTTCTGTCCTCCTTCAGGCACGGTGTCAGGTGGGTCGCGAGAAGCTCTTCTCCTGGGGTCGTAAACGTCGAGGTGTGAGCACTGCCAACCGTGCGTGGGGACAAGTACAGGAGACCACGAAGGAGGAGGCGCTGGCGGCGGCGCAGGCGCTCACAGCCTCCTCCGGAAACGACGAGATGAGCATCAGCCAGGAGATCTTGGTGCTGGACCTGGGAGATGACCAGAGTCCGCAGTACCGCAATGACCCTGTCCCAGAGGCCAACAGGAACTACCACAAGAACAGTGAGTCGTTCTGGTTGAGGGACGTCACAATTCGCCAATATTTTTCACTGCCTCTTTCACTCTAGTTAGGTTCATCACTGTAGTTTCAGTGATTCCCTTTTTCCAAAGCCCGCTACTCTGTTACACCTGATCATAAAGCCTCACCAATACATAGAGAATGATACTTGTGTACAGCTCAGGACATTTATTAAAGGAAACGTTTTGCCAACAGTGGTTTCACCAGTCCAAATTTAGGACTGATGAAGCCACTCGTGGCGAAACGTTTCCGTTAATAAATGTCCTGAATTTTATACGCAGGTGTCCTTTTCCACGGTGTGTCGGTGTCATTATAATATTTACAACTTAGTATTATATTATACCTATTTATACAACATTACAGGTGTGTGTACTTACCTAATTGTGTGTGTGTGTGTACTCACCGAGTTGTGTTCGCAGAAGTTGAGACTTGGCTCTTGGCCCTGCCTCCTAGATTCCATTGATCGAGATCACTAATTTTTTGCCTGATTGGAAAAAAAAAATATGGTTGGATATCTTTGTGTTTTTGGTCAAAGTTGTTTTGCTTCTTCGCTCAACACCAGAAGGGTTTATGTTGTCTGGTCCCATCGCTTGTGTTACATCGTTTGTGTCACATCCAGCTTGTACAGTAGCCTCATCACTTGTTCCTTTGTAGTGTTCATACTTTCCAGCAGCCATTGATCTGTTCTGACTGCAGTGACCTCTGGCGGCTATAAATTTTTTTCAGTAATGATTTCTCTATCATTCGCCATCAGCGGCTCTTCTTCCTTCCTCTGCCTTAACACTTGCTCCATCACAGTCTATTTTTATTTTGCTATCGAGAAACTTTAAGTTCAGTTTTTGGGCTTTGCTACTGTGTAATATTTAATCTGTTCTTCAACTTCCCTTCTCATTCTTGCCTATTTATTTATAGCTCTCTTGATTGCTTCTCAGTTTTCTGCAGATCAGTTTGCTCAATATTTTTCCAAGTCCTCTTGCTCTTTCCCTTGGCCTCTCTGCATTATTTATTTAACCATGGTGGGCTCTGTTTTCCTGCATCCTTTCTCCATATTCGGCACTAATCTTTCCCTTGCCTCTTGGCACTTTATTACCTCCATTTCCTTTTCAGTTTTACCTTCAGTTACTTTTGCCATTCCACTTTTCTCAGAATATTTCTCATATCGTCATAGTCTCCTCTTCTGTAGTTCTATTTTCTGTTACTTGCTTCTTCACTATTTCTGGAGTTCCCTTTCCAACAGTCACTTAAAGCTTATTATCACATGGTCGCTGGTTCCTCTTGGTTCCCCATAATTTTTGTTAGGTTCTTTTTCTATTTTGCTTCCTTCTACTTTATCATGTCTCCCCCGCCCTTCGTTCCTCTTCCTTCCAGTCTCCTTTGATATATACTGTGTCAAGGTTTTGAGATCTCAGTTTCGATTTCCTTCTCGTTAATAGTTTCTCGTTTCTGACTTCGTAAACACAATTAGCGATGACTTTGTTCTTCCCTCTACATATAAAAAAACGTACAGATTTCACTTGTCTCTCTTGCTGCTCCCAATTTTTCCATTGGGTCTTCAATGCCTTGTTCTTCCTTTGTACCTTCTTCTCACGTTATCTTCGTTTAGGCCAAACACCATGACAGTTGCATGTGTTTGTGTGTTAGATACCATCTGTCATAAGTTCTTGTCATATAGGCACTAGGCCTGCTTAGTGTGTGTGTATATTTAAGTGTTTGTGTTTGGTGTGCCTGTACCCACATATGTAGGCCACCCTCACAATACTGATTAATATCTCATTTCCTTGCAGACACTTACACATTCGAGGGCGCTGCCGTCACCTTATTCGAGACCTGCCCGACAAGAACCTCCGTTCTCGCCCTGGCTGTCACCTGTGCCATCCTGCTGCTTATCTACGTTCTCACCGTCTTCTACTTCGTCATGAGAAAGTGGATCCGTCCCCAGAAGGGCGTGCGATAAGACTTCCGAGTAGACAATTGACATCCACGAGCAGGGAACCTAGTGGATCCTGCTTCACGGCCTTCAGCAGGCAGGAGCAGGGAGACTAGCGTGCCCTGCTTCACGGCCTTCAGCAGGCAGGAGCAGGGAGACTAGCGTGCCCTGCTTCACGGCCTTCAGCAGGGTAGAGACACCAGCCAGGGAATATTCGTGTTAGCTGAATTCTCAACAAATTTAAGTATTAAGCAATAAAAATAATTATTCTGGTGCAGCAGCGATGAGCTGTGTTTCCACCATGGTTGTGATAGTGAGCTTACCAGCCACCATGGTTGTGATAGTGAGCTTACTAGCCACCATGGTTGTGATAGTGAGCTTACCAGCCACCATGGTTGTGATAGTGAGCTTACCAGCCACCATGGTTGTGATAGTGAGCTTACCAGCCACCATGGTTGTGATAGTGAGCTTACCAGCTACCATGGTTGTGATAGTGAGCTTACCAGCCACCATGGTTGTGATAGTGAGCTTACCAGCCACCATGGTTGTGATAGTGAGCTTACCAGACACCATGGTTGTGATAGTGAGCTTACCAGCCACCATGGTTGTGATAGTGAGCTTACCAGCCTCCATGGTTGTAATAGTGAGCTTACCAGCCTTTATGGTTGTAATAGTGAGCTTACCAGCCTCCATGGTTGTAATAGTGAGCTTACCAGCCTCCATGGTTGTAATAGTGAGCTTACCAGCCTCCATGGTTGTAATAGTGAGCTTTCCAGCCTCCATGGTTGTAATAGTGAGCTTTCCAGCCTCCATGGTTGTAATAGTGAGCTTACCAGCCACCATGGTTGTGATAGTAAGCTTACCAGCCACCATGGTTGTGATAGTGAGCTTACCAGCCACCATGGTTGTGATAGTGAGCTTACCAGCCACCATGGTTGTGATAGTGAGCTTACCAGCCTCCATGGTTGTAATAGTGAGCTTTCCAGCCACCATGGTTGTAATAGTGAGCTTACCAGCCTCCATGGTTGTAATAGTGAGCTTACCAGCCTCCATGGTTGTAATAGTGAGCTTACCAGCCACCATGGTATCACCGGTGAGCTGACAGTCCAGTATGGTAACGCTGCATGGATAGTACTCCGCTCCCCGCACTCATTCCTATAACAAAGTGACTTGTTATCTTCACTATTACTTACCACATCATCTCAGTTGTTAAATAATTTATTTATTTATTTATTTATATATATATTTATTTATTTATTTATTTATTTATATTTAAGATCAACATAATATAAAAACAATTATAGGGCTAATTTACACATGTGATCCTCAGGTGGTTCACAAGACTTGAAAAAGGTCATCAATGGCCTTGTTTTGTTTTAGTTTGACTCTCACATCATTTAAAATCGCTCTATGTTATATATATATATATATATATATATATATATATATATATTATATATATATATATATATATATATATATATATATATATATATATATATATATATATATATATATTGCAAACCCGAACGTAAACTCGTCACGTCTACAGAAGAATAGATTAGGGTTTATATACAGTGCTAATTACTGATATATATTTCAAATCAGTCTGTGTTTCCATGGGATCTTAGGATTATCCTTAACCAGCTGCAAGAAACCCGTGATGATCAAATTTTAGTTACATTTGGGCACACTAGCAGAAATAAGTGCCAAGGACATAAATATTCTTCACACCTCGTTTAACTAGGCTGACAACGTCACTTCTAAGTCAGAAACTCTGTTATGTAATTCCTTTCATAATGTAAACGTTTCTTACTCCATTACCTCTATTCTTTCATTTCAAAAAAGGTAAGCCACAATAAGGAATACTTTTTTTGTTAAGAGATTGTTATATTTGTGGACGAGGCCACAGGTGTTGTGGTCCGGCTTGTGTTTACGTGCAAGGACGCAACTCCGCAGTAATTTCTGAGGCATTATCCCGCATTAATTCTTGGGCATTTAATTATTAAACTCCAAATTGCAAATAGGTTAGATTGTGACCTTCCCATGGGCATTGGATACTAAATGTGATTTATGCTGTAACTGTTGAAAAAAATAAGAGAAGTGTGACTCTGCAGGAATCATGTTTGGTCATAGGGTAGAGGCCCTACGTGAGTAGCTATTCTTAAGAGTACTCTTGTGTTTGGGTGGTACCTGCTGTGTCTTGGCCCTCCCCTGCCATGCTTGTACACAAGCAGATAGCAGCAGCAGAAGGGGCAGCAGGTACCTCCCACGGACGAGTATTTAGTCTGGCCAAAATCACGTAGGTATTTACAGGTGTGCCTGACGGAGGGGTTTTAGACCCTCTGTGACTGTTAGTTCTCCTTTGTTCTTCTTTACTAACTGCCACTCTCGTGCTGACCCTCCGCTTGTCCACGCCTCTGAAGGTCCTATAATCTGATGTATTTCTGTACACGAAGATAAGTTTTAGCAGCGTCAGCATGGGATGGTTGAGCTCACTGTCTGCTTCTTAGAAGTTTAGTGGTTTACCGTAAAACATTGTCCCATTGTTGGTTTGTTAGCAAAGTCGTCGTAGTCCACCCAGAGTCTGCTTTGTTTACATGTACAACTCGGCCACGTCAGGTCTACGCTAATTCAGAGTACATTACAGAACGAGGAGGTTTAAGTACATTTATACACAAATAACCCGCACATAGGAGGAACTTGCGACGACGTATCGGTTCAGCTTGAACCATTTACAAAGTCAAACTGTGTGACTTTGTAAATGGTCCAAGTCGGACCGAAACGTTGTGGTAAGCTCCTCTCTAAGTGCGGGTTGTGTATTGTTCCAGCCACAGTACTGTGCCTTTTTTCGTTATTTAAGTCCATTATCACAGGATGCGCTCTCACTGGCGTATTTTACACGCAGGTGCGTTAGATCTTGCATAGCTCTCCAGCTATGGTGAAATATTCCCTCTTCTGGTAATTGTTTCTCGTAAACACGACTCAATAAGCCAACGATATGGACAAAGTGGTGGGGTGCTGAGTGTGTGATGTTAGCCACGGTGGGGGCCTGGCAGGTGCTCGTGTAGGGGAATTTTACTAACTCTCCTTTGTTTTCCTTATACTCACAGTCCTTTTCCTTCCACCACGATGACAAACCTGTAAATACGGTGTACATTTCTAAGGTTGTCATTTACCTCCTTCAAATTAAAATTTTGGATAGGCCTTAGCGAAGGTGACACCTGTATGTTTACAAAAAATAGAAGAGAGAAGACTTTTGTATATTTCGAAATCTAATGGAGATAATCAGACTGAAATATAAAGAGCGTTCCTTCGTCTCATTTCTGGTCTATGTGAAGTCTTCATCTTCGAGTCAGCAAGTGTTTATGACGCTTCGATGCTCCTAAAATATGTCTTAGATTTCAAGCAAAAGTCTTCAGCCAATGATGGCGTACCTCTAGGCTCCCTCCTTGGACCGGCGGTGATGTTTAGTGTTTTGAGTAGAACTTGCTAAGTCTTACGACGGAGCAAGTAGACTTTTGTAAATAAACTGTTATTTGTGATCATTTGTATGTAGTGTGTGTAGTCTGGAGAACAGTTGTTATAGCCAATAAATGTTTCCACATGTTTTGATTTGTTGTTTCTTTATCATACAATCTTAAGTAGAGAAATACTGATATGGCACTCTGATAATTTATAATTAACAGAGGCAAATATGATGCACAGTTAGAGCTGCTGAAGCAGAGGCAGAGATGTTAGTAGCATCTCTTTCACTCTACAAGTCCCTGGACCCATTATGTACCTCTGTAATCTTTTGACTCCCGCCCACGGGATGGATATGGGTACATAAAGATATTAAACTATGCAAGTATAGAGTGAATGCTGCTATTACCACCTTTGCTACCTTCAAGGTCTTGTAGGGAAGAAATCCTTTAAATTCACTGAGCTCAACAACGGGGTTTTGTGTCATTCCGTGTGGTGGATGTAACAAACTTTATGTTGGATGAAATGTCGAGGAAGTTTGAGCAACATCTGAAGCAGAGGTATGCTTGTAGTTGGGTTAACTTCACAAAATTATGATACACCTCAGAGTTTGAAGCCAATCAGAAGAGGCATTCTTCAGTTATTATGCAAAAGCCAGTTCAATAAAACTGACAAATAAAAATATACACAAGTCAAAGAAGAACTTTCTTTAAATAAAGCCAAACAAAATAAAGCTCGAACATTGACACTGAGAGAATGAGAGAAGAAGAAAGAGAGATGAAAAAGAAAGAGAAGAAGAAAGAGAGAAGAATGAAGAGATAAGGGAAAAGACAGAAGAGAGAAACTCCAACCATTCATGCTTAACAAGCTTTACCTGTAAATTCTCATGATTAATGTGTTTATGATTCATTACCTTTGCAATTATTCATGAGTGTGGCCAGCTCTACCTGGAGCTCATTACCTTTGTAACTTGGTCATGATTATGACCAGATCTAGTTCATTACCTTTGTAACTTGCTCAGCTATCAAAACTTTGGAGTCCAGTCCCTGGACCAATTATGTACCTCTGTAATCTTTTGACTACCGCCCACAGGATGGGTATGGGGTGCATAATAAACATATTAAACTAACTAACTTAAACTAACAAGCTTTACCTTCCGCTTGTTTGGGGAAGAGACGAGGGTTTCCAGGAGGATACTGAAGCACGCTTCTTCCGATCGCCTTCAACTTTCAGCAAATGTGGCCATGAGAAAAAAAAACATGGTGCAAAACTACCTGAGCAGTGATGCCTCCAGCTGGTCTCCAGCTCTCGCTCTCTCTCTCTCTCTCTCTCTCTCTCTCTCTCTCTCTCTCTCTCTCTCTCTCCTCTCTTTTCTCTCTCTCTTTCTCTGCATGACCAGCACTGCAGTGATCTTGGGTCAGCATCTCACAGGATGTTAGTATGTTTGTTATCTTTGTTATCACGGTGGCTATTATCGTTATTATTCCTATTCCTGTCATTATCTCCAGCCTACCTGGTAATGGTTGGTTCATTATCTTTTTTTTTGTATGGTTCTACAGGTTAGTTAGTTCTAACTTTACTTACAGCAGGCTGTTACTACATCAGGCTCTCTCTCTGTCTCATCTCTCTCTAACTCTTTCTTTACTCTATCTACATCTGCTCTTCTCTCATCACTCCTCCCTCTTTCTCTCTCTTCTCTCTCTTCCTTTCCCTACGATACTTTCCATCTTTCTCTCTACTACTCCTCCCATCTACATCACTTCCCACCATCGTCTTTCAAACTTCCATCATCGTGGTGCAACATGCTTCAATAAACACACAACAAAACAAAGAGTTCACACACACACACACACACACACACACACACACAACACACACACACACACACACACACACACACACACACACACACACAGCCAATCATCGTTGTCATCTGCCTTGAACAATTATTCACTCCTGGCTTCTCTAATACTCGAGATCACAGCTACACAAAACTATGCAGTCAGCAGCTACGTTCAGGGCGAGTGAACATTGTGTTCTGCTGTGTAAATGTCAGTTCCTCGTGTGAGAATGAAGGTGTGAAGATGAGAGGAAATAGTGTTTTGGGTATCGTGTATTGATGACGACCCTGACGAGCCTTGTTACCCGTCGCCTTCACCCGTTCACACAGGCACTCTCACCTCTTAAACTAACTCGCTATCTCTTCTTCCTTCATAATTATTTATTCTTCCTCTCTCTCTCTCTCTCTCTCCTCTCTCTCTCTCTCTCTCTCTCTCTCTCTCTCTCCCCTCATTTGTATCTCTATATATATATCTATATCTATCTATTTCTCTGTATATCCCTCTCTCTCGTATATAATATATTATATATATATATATATATATATATAATATATATATATATATATATATAATATATATATATATATATATATATATATATATATATATATATATATATAAAACGCCAGAACACATTTATTAAAAAACAACGTTTGGGTCCTGCTACCTTGATCACTTCTAACATAGAAAAGTTGAAAAACAGCAATATATATAAGGGGGAAGTGGGGTGTGAGTATACACATAGTGACCTTAAAACTGTAAATGTGACTTGAGATGAGGTCGTAGCACTGAGTCACGTGATTCCAGGTGTAGTCGCGGCTTTCGGTCGAGTATCAAGTATATTAAGGTTGATTGTACAGCAGCTTAATGACCCCGTGTAGTCGATCGCCTTGAAAACATTTAGCACCAACCAACCATTCATACAAAATATTAAACAGAGAGATATAATGGACACAAGAAGCCACTGGCGATTTGTGTCTCATTCTATATGACACAAGAAGCCACTGGCGATTTTGTCTCATTCTATATTGACACCAAGAAGCCACTGCTCTGTTGTCTCATTATATATTGGACACAAGAAGCCACTGGCGTCTTGTGTCTCATTCTATATTGGACACAAGAAGCCACTGGCGTCTTGTGTCTCATTCTATATTGGACACAAGAAGCCACTGGCGTCTTGTGTCTCATTCTATATTGGACACAAGAAGCCACTGGCGTCTTGTGTCCAATACAGAGAAGAACGGTAGACTATATTAGACTGACGAAGCCACTAGCGAGCGAAACGTTTCATCAATAAAGATTCCCAGATATTACACAAGTGTCTCATTCTTCAACTTGTCGGTGATACAGCAGAGAAAATCGCAGCAGAATGTGAGGATGAGCAGCGGCGAGCGTCGTGATAATTAACCCGGTCGTTACTCAGAAGAGACGGACACCCAACTATCGCCGTAGATTACAGCATTCACCTCTGTGACTCAGGTCCATAGAGATGGAAACTGCCAGCGCATGAGGTGAGTGTTAACCACGTGTTGCGCATGAATAGATTCAGCGGTCGTCGGTAGAGGTTACACCACCACCGACCGCAAGTACCTTGGCGGTGACGGCGACAGTGCCACTAAGGCACTGTAAGAACTGACGATTAGTGTCAGTGTGGCGTGGAAAGTGTCTACCTCCCAGGCCTGAAAGTGGAGGAAGTATTTTCCTGGCACTTAAGACTTAAAGTTGATGATTAAGACAAGATTTCGTTCGGATTTTTAATCCCGGAGGTTAGCCACCCAGGATAACCCCAGAAAGCCAGTGCGTCATCGAGGGACATTATTATCCCTCAGGATGCAACCCACACCAGTCAACTAACACCCAGGTACCTACTTACTGCTAGGTGAACGGAACAGGTGTAAGGAAACATGCCCAGTGTCCCCCCCCTCTATTTCGGTGATCGAACCACGGACACTCAGTGTGTGAGGAAAGAGCGTTGCCTACCAGGCCACGGGTCACCTTAATGTCTTAATTATCAACTTGTCGGTATTTTATACTATTTTCAACAAGACTTCAAGTTACTGAACAAGTTTTTCAAGTGGAATTATGTACCGAGAAATGTGTTGATGTGACATAATTTGCTGTTTAAGGTATTTTTTCTTGAGAAGACTTCTCGCTCACCAGGGACTTTATCAGTTGTCAGAGTCTCCTGCCTCACGTGAACGATGTCGCCGGGTCTCCTACCTCAAGGTAACACTGTCACTGGGTCTCCTACCTCAAGGTAACACTGTCACTGGGTCTCCTACCTCAAGGTAACACTGTCACTGGGTCTCTTGCCTCAAGAGAACACTGTCACTGGGTCTCCTGCCTCAAGGTAACACTGTCACTGGGTCTCTTGCCTCAAGAGAACACTGTCACTGGGTCTCCTGCCTCAAGGTAACACTGTCACTGGGTCTCTTGCCTCAAGAGAACACTGTCACTGGGTCTCCTGCCTCAATGTAACACTGTCACTGGGTCTCCTGCCTCAAGGTAACACTGTCACTGGGTCTCCTGCCTCAAGGTAACACTGTCACTGGGTCTCCTGCCTCAAGAGAACACTGTCACTGGGTCTCCTACCTCAAGGTAACACTGTCACTGGGTCTCTTGCCTCAAGGTAACACTGTCACTGGGGCTCCTGCCTCAAGGTAACACTGTCACTGGGTCTCCTACCTCAAGGTAACACTGTCACTGGGTCTCTTGCCTCAAGATAACACTGTCACTGGGTCTCCTGCCTCAAGGTAACACTGTCACTGGGTCTCTTGCCTCAAGAGAACACTGTCACTGGGTCTCCTGCCTCAAGGGAACACTGTCACTGGGTCTCCTGCCTCAAGGGAACACTGTCACTGGGTCTCCTGCCTCAAGGTAACACTGTCACTGGGTCTCCTGCCTCAAGGGAACACTGTCACTGGGTCTCTTGCCTCAAGAGAACACTGTCACTGGGTCTCCTGCCTCAAGGGAACACTGTCACTGGGTCTCCTGCCTCAAGGGAACACTGTCACTGGGTCTCCTGCCTCAAGGTAACTCTGTCACTGGGTCTCCTGCCTCAAGGTAACACTGTCACTGGGTCTCCTGCCTCAAGGTAACACTGTCACTGGGTCTCCTGCCTCAAGGTAACACTGTCACTGGGTCTCCTGCCTCAAGGTAACACTGTCACTGGGTCTCCTGCCTCAAGGTAACACTGTCACTGGGTCTCCTGCCTCAAGGGAACATCCACTCACTTTCACTCTCAGTATCGTGGTTGTCGTGGAGGTCCCTTCACAGTGTTCCTGTGGAGGCGGCCGCTGCAGCACCTGCCCAAGCACAGCTGCTGACGTTCTCCATGGCTTCCACTGTTCCCTTCATTAACCAGTACCATGAAACGCTGTCAAGTTAATTATACAGCGTGAGGTGTAAACAAGTTCTGATTTCACATATTGCTAAGTAAAGACTTGTAGTATTCTGCGTTGTAAAAGAGCATTTCTGAGAGTGAAACTTTTGAATAAGTTGTGCCTTATGCTTTTCTAAGCATCTTAGTTGAATTTAACGATGGTGCAACCTGTGACGGCTCTGTTGGCGTGGTCGTGCGCAGCGGCAGCTTATTTGCAGTTCTCGTTGTTGCTGTCGTTACTGTCGTCGAGGTCAAGGCCGTCTCTTGCTCTCTCCAGCCGGGAGCAGCAACCCCCGTCGTCTTCTCCTTGGTATCGTCTCTCTCTGCACCTTCGTACTTCCCATGATGTTGACAGTCTGGAGGTGACCTCACCGCCGCCACACTCACAGCTAAGCTTCAACACATCGTCACACCTGGAGGTGCCAGTGCAGTTTCAAACAGCAACCGAATCGGTGCAGATCCCGCTGTTTGCTCTCAGGGAAGACAGGAAAATGGATGGAAGTAAATCAGAACTTCAGCCAACATTTTTTTCAGAGCCTGCCATATCCTCACCATTAACAACTATCAAATTCACTCTTGATGATGTCCCAGTATTTTGGCAGCCACAGTCTTCTCCTTCACATCTTGCTGTTAAATCAAATGAAACATACAGGGACGATATATTATCACTTTTAAGGAAGTCTTCCGCAAGAGTCTCGCTTGAGGCTAGTGAGTATATTATAGATTCACTTACTCACAGACAAACACCCAGGCATCTATATATTGTGACACCGACGGCCAGGTCGCAGCCATCAGCCACTCCACAAACCAGGACGACCTCGGAGTTAACAGGACATTCCCTAGACGCAGAGGAAAGTTTAGTGTCATCGTTAACTTTGCCTTTCTTGGAGAATTCAACTGAAGAATCTCTGAACACAGCCAGACTTCGTGATCTGAGGACACCAGTGGTAACCAGGGCCTCAGACTCCCGGTCTCATAACATCGCTGAGTCCAACATCTTCACCACAAAGCCAATTAAGACTAAGTCTGAGGTTTCTATCGATAACATCGTTTTTGAGACATCCGAAGAGAACGGAGTTTTCAGTAAAAGTCCAGTACCGAAAATTACAAGCCTCAGTGAAGAAAAAAATAGCTATGAAAATGTTGACGAGACTGAGAAGCCTCGCCTTGCCAGGAAGACAATTAATTTTAATCAAGAATTCTTAGCCCTTTTGAAAAATTACAATCCAAGGGAGAAAAATGATGAAACCACAAGAGAGGTAAATTCCTTCTGGCTGAGTAATCTGAGTAAGGTTAAGACTGGGAGAGTGTGGAGTCTGAAGGGAGGTGCTCGGTCCCCCTCAATCACCAGCTCATCCAAGGATGACGCTCCACCATACAACCTACAGCAGAATATAGGTGGTGTATTCACGGCATCCCTCCTAGGCTTGATGGCCGCTACAGCTAAACTAGCGAGTAATACGACCCTGACAGTCGTAACTGAAGGTCCCAGGATAATTTCAGTTGGGGAGGTGGGTGAGGTACCGCACGAAACACAGGATACATTAATCAATGCCGCTTCTCTTGGACTTTCCGCTGCTCTGAAACACGGTATACAGAGCCTCAATGTGAGCGCCTGGGTGTCCGGCTGTCCCAAACTTTATGGCAAAGTGGCGCTCAATTGTGCCATTCACCATGATGCTCTTGTCAACACCGCCATGGTGAGTCCACTGCTGTGAATCCTTAAGGGGCGCGTAAGTACCACTGTCTCCTAATAACATGTTTATTTTTCCACTATAATCTACCTCGTCCATAATTACTATCACATTTACTTTGTTTCGTAAGGTGAAGTCCAGGATGTTTCCTTAGTTTATGGTATACCCAAATCTTTGAAGACAATTATGTTGCAGAGGTTTGAGCTTTGCTCAGGCGTCTGCAACAGCAGTATTACTACTACTATTACTACTACTACTACTACTACTTGTAGTAGTAGTAGTAGCAGTAGTAATAGTAGTAGTAGTAGTAGCAGTAGTAATAGTAGTAGTAGTTGCATATTATTTTTAAGTTTTCGTAGCTAAGAAAACACAATGTTGTTTGATAAACGAGACATTTTTGCAATATTTGGGTATCTGTATCCTGGAAACGTTTCGCCACACACTGCCTTCTTCAGTCCAATGCGAACAAAGGTGGAATAAGAGGAGTTTGAAGTAATCAGTCCCTTGCGGAACTAGTGTTGTAAACCTCTCTGAACCTCCTCGAATTATTGAACTTACGGGTATTCTGAGAGACAACATATGGAAGTTTAAAGCCTCACACTAACTTAGTACATGCTGCTGATGCTATGCGGTTTCATGCGCACGTCTGACGATAAACCCGGCATGGTGTCCGCTCTAGTACCTTTCACCTTGCGCGGTAATCGTAATTTTTCGCCTGTCAAGCTGACAAATTCGCACGACCTTGCGCTTATTTGTATTAATCTCCAGGAGCCATTTATTTGCCCATCTTTGAAGTCGTCCAAGTTTACGTGTAGTCTGACTGTATTTAGTTTCTCACGTTCTTACTTTCCTCTTTAACTCTACAACAATGGTTCAGTCAACATGAGCGCTAATAATACAATAACAACAGTGTGAGAGTGACGTAGTACTGTTTTGGTCTACGAGAGTACAGTCTTGGCGAATGCTTATGCTTTTAATCACCAATTTGTACTCGTTTAGCTGCAGCAGGAGAGTGCAACCAGTTCCTCAACAACCGGTCCTGATTGAAGGTTGTAATTCTGAGTGACCAACCAGTTCTTATTAAGGTTGAAGTTTATTTTTGACGTAAATGTTAGAAATGACGTCAGAAATGTATCATTATGACAGAATTTCTTCGGTGTTTACAAATAAGTTAACTGCCCTTGAATGAGTGGGAGGGGCTGGGTTTGATTGGTGTTGGGGGGTGCGGGAGTTGTTTCTTGAGTAGCTTTAGGTAGATGTCGTTTTGATAAGGACCTGCCTCGTATGGGCCAGTAGGCCTTCTGCAGTGTTCCTACATTCTTATGTTATGTTCTTATGTTCTAATTAAGAAAGCTTAGTTACCCTTGTATAAAATCATTTATAATCTGAAGATGGGAAGACACTCCTTGTTATCATATTCTTATTTTTATATTATTATTCCACAAATTCGTGAATTTCCAGGGAAACTCCTACATTGTCTACATCCTGGAGTAACACTACACTGTCTACATTCTGGAGTAACACTGTCTACATCCTGGAGTAACACTACACTGTCTACATCCTGGAGTAACACTGTCTACATCCTGGAGTAACACTGTCTACATCCTGGAGTAACACTGTCTACATCCTGGAGTAACACTACATTGTCTACATCCTGGAGTAACACTGTCTACATCCTGGAGTAACACTACACTGTCTACATCCTGGAGTAACACTGTCTACATCCTGGAGTAACACTACACTGTCTACATCCTGGAGTAACACTACACTGTCTACATCCTGGAGTAACACTACACTGTCTACATCCTGGAGTAACACTACACTGTCTACATCCTGGAGTAACACTACACTGTCTACATCCTGGAGTAACACTGTCTACATCCTGGAGTAACACTACACTGTCTACATCCTGGAGTAACACTGTCTACATCCTGGAGTAACACTACACTGTCTACATCCTGGAGTAACACTGTCTACATCCTGGAGTAACACTACACTGTCTACATCCTGGAGTAACATTACACTGTCTACATCCTGGAGTAACACTGTCTACATCATGGAGTAACACTACAATGTCTACATCATGGAGTAACACTACACTGTCTACATCCTGGAGTAACACTGTCTACATCCTGGAGTAACACTGTCTACATCATGGAGTAACACTACACTGTCTACATCCTGGAGTAACACTACAGTGTCTACATCCTGGAGTAACACTGTCTACATCCTGGAGTTACACTACACTGTCTACATCCTGGAGTAACACTGTCTACATCCTGGAGTAACACTACACTGTCTACATCCTGGAGTAACACTACACTGTCTACATCCTGGAGTAACACTACACTGTCTACATCCTGAGTAACACTACACTGTCTACATCTTGGAGTAACATTACACTGTCTACATCCTGGAGTAACACTACACTGTCTACATCCTGGAGTAACACTACACTGTCTACATCCTGGAGTAACACTACACTGTCTACATCCTGGAGTAACACTACACTGTCTACATCCTGGAGTAACATTACACTGTCTACATCCTGGAGTAACACTACACTGTCTACATCCTGGAGTAACATTACACTGTCTACATCCTGGAGTAACACTACACTGTCTACATCCTGGAGTAACACTACACTGTCTACATCCTGGAGTAACACTGTCTACATCCTGGAGTAACACTGTCTACATCCTGGAGTAACACTGTCTACATCCCGGATATCGTCTTCTACGTAACACCTACAACAACATCCTCACACACCGGGTCAAAACACAACTAATCCTTCAATAAATTGTTTCAGAAAGTGACTTGGAAGAAGAAAATTTCAGCGAGGGTCACCTGGAGGAGCAGGTGATTGCCGAGGGTGACCTCCTGAAGGTGCAGGAGCCCAGGTTCACCTTGGAGCACCACCTGGACCAGTACCACCTCATCATCAAGGACTTCCGCGCCAAGGACTGTGGCACGTACGAGTGTGAGGCTCGTGCTGCTGGCACGACAGCTGCCTCACAGCTGTTGCTCTTTACGTGCCTCTGACATACCTGTGTACGACACACCTTTCTCTCGGGCACACCTGTCTGACACACCTGCTTCTGATACACCTATCTGGCATACCTGTCTCTGACACACCTGCTTCTGACACACCTGCTTCAGACACACCTGTGCCTGGCATACCTAAGACACACCTGTGCCTCGTATACCTGTCTCTGACACACCTGCTTCTGACACACCTGTGTCTGGCATACCTTTCTCTGACACACCTGCTTCTGACACACCTGTGTCTGGCATACCTTTCTCTGGCACACCTGCTTCTGACACACCTGTGTCTGGCATACCTGTCTCTGACACACCTGCTTCTGATATACCTGTGCCTGGCATAACTGTCTAAGACACACCTGCTTCTTACATACCTGTGTCTGGCACACCTACTACACACCTGCTACTGACACACCTGTGTCTGGCATACCTGTCTCTGATACACCTGCTTCTGACATACCTGTGTCTGGCACACCTGTCTATGACACATCTGCTTCTGACACACCTGTGCCTGGCATACCTGTCTAAGACACACCTGCTTCTGACATGCCTGTGTCTGGCACACCTGTCTGTGACACACCTATTTCTTTTACACCTGTGTCTGGCATACCTGTCTAAGACACACATGCTTCTGACATACCTGTGTCTGGCACACCTGTCTATGACACACCTGCTTCTGACACACCTATGTCTGGCATGCCTGTGTCTGACATACCTGTGTCTGGCACACCTGTCTATCACATAAGTGCTTCTGACATACCTGTGTCTGGAACACCTAATCACATAAGTGCTTCTGACACACCTGTGTGTGGCATATCTGTCTATGACACACCTGTGTTATCTCCAGTTAAGGTGATTTTAATCTGTGAAGAAGGGATTAAACTCTCAGTGTATATACAGTGAGAGATACACGCCTCTAGTATATATACACTGGGAAATGCACATCTCTCAATGTATATACTTTATGACAATGTCTTTGGTTAGTCACATCAAGAGTGACAAGTCAGGTAAAGGTTAATTTCCTTGTCAAATTTTACGTATTATGAATGAATCTAGGTTATACAATCCTAGACTTATATTCAAATTGTAATTTTTTTTATTTCGTAAATCATTTTTCCATTATATCTCTTCCAGCTTCTTATTTGCCTGTTAAAATTTTCTCAGCTTTCAACCCATCAATGGGGGGATTGAATCCTCTTTCCTAAATTAACCGAAACTATATATATATATACAACGTTTCTCACTGCATCTTGGTCATGTACGCACCTTCTTATGGGTCGATTCAGTGGCTCCTGGCTCCTGGCTCCGACGGCGGCCTCTTATGGTGTTTGCAGGCGTCGAGTTATAGCTGCTGGGCCCGTTACCTGCACCTTGACTGCCTTTACCTCCATGTATTGATGTCCTCAAAGAATAATGTGAGAATTCTCGCTCTCAACCACTGTCAGTTGTAAGTGGTTCATTGTATTTAACTCCGATGTTGTGTACCAGTGGGAGGTGGTACACACCACACTGTGTAGTAACTACATTACATGATGTGTGTCAGTGGGAGGTGGTACACACCACACACTGTGTAGTAACTACATTACATGATGTGTGTCAGTGGGAGGTGGTACACACCACACTGTGTAGTAACTACATTACATGATGCATGTCAGTGGGAGGTGGTACACACCACACACTGTGTAGTAACTACATTACATATGCATGTCAGTGGAAGGTGGACACACCACACACTGTGTAGTAAACTACATTACATGATGCATGTCAGTGGGAGGTGGTACACACTCACACTGTTGTAGTAACTACATTACATGATGCATGTCAGTGGGAGGTGTACACACCACACACTGTGTATTAACTACATTTACATTGATGCCATGTCATGGGAGGTGGTACACACCACACACTTGATAGTAACTACATTACATGATGCATGTCAGTGGGAGGTGGTACACACCACACACTGTGTAGTAACTACATTACATGATGCATGTCAGTGGGAGGTGGTACACACCACACACTGTGTAGTAACTACATTACATGATGCATGTCAGTGGGAGGTGGTACACACCACACACTGTGTAGTAACTACATTACATGATGCATGTCAGTGGGAGGTGGTACACACCACACACTGTGTAGTAACTACATTACATGATGCATGTCAGTGGGAGGTGGTACACACCACACACTGTGTAGTAACTACATTACTGGGAGGAAGAAGCTGTGACCTGTGACCTTCAGCTTTCTAAAAACATCGGTAATAACACTGAAGGTGACGCTGTCTTGCACCTCGGAGACTTTAATAACAAGAATTTGACACACAAATGTATAGTATATATGATATTCCTTCGTTGTCATGATATACGTTGGTTTTATGACGGTTGAAAAAAACCTCTATAATACCGACCAGACATTTAGAGCTTTGGTTAATTAAGTTATATACTGTCATAAACATCAAAATAAACAAAAGCTATCGCTTAAAAATACAAAAGTCGCTTTTGTTGATAAAGATACAAAAATATTATAACGCTAGTGAAAGTAAGACACTAATTGAAAAAAAATTTCGTAAAATAATTTATATCGAAAGATTTTTCTAAAATTTCCCCGACTGCGTGTTGCCAGCAGTAACAGCCTGGATGATTAGGTCTTGATGCACCAGGAGGCCAGGTCTAGGACCGTGATACAGAGGGCGTTAACCACCCCTGAAAATATCCTTCAGAAGACTCCTACAGGTACCCTGGCAGCGATATAACCCATAAACAACTCTTAACTGGGTCTTCAGAGGCAGGTCAGTCCCCTATAATCTATCCTGACCATAATTACTATCGCATCTAGAATCTTCCCTTAATTCAAGGTATAATTTAACAAATTATCGAGGACAATTGTGTTGCCGGGGGTCGAACCACGGTCCCCCAGTGTGTGAGCTGACCGGAAGCTCTCCCAGCGGAAGCGAGAGAGTGTGAGGAAAGTACCAAGTAAGGGGAAGTATTCCACAGTGCGTCAAGGGGTCACAGAAGTGACGCTAAACACACGTGTTCACTGCCTGGTGAAATAACAGGAAATGAGATATTTATCAGGTTGCCTCTTCAGGGTACTGTCTTGTTGCTGAGGGCTCTTGATCCAAGGACTTGGAGATACCCTCCTCTTACTTAGGTCAAACTTGATAGTCTACGGTTTTTAATAAATATGTAATTATTATTATTATAATAATAATAATAATAATAATAATAATAATAATAATAATAATGTTAATAATGTTAATAATAATAATCATAGGTCAAAGTAATGGAAGCTGGCTCCGTGCAAAGTTTTAAGAATAGGTATGACAAAACTAAGATGATATCAAAAGATCGAGAGAAGAAAGGTACAATGTACACTAGTTGGGGGGGTTGGGGGTATTTTACCCCGCGTAGGTGATCTCCAGATGTTTTTCCCCAGGGGATTTTCTAAGGTGCTTCTCCTAGGTGCTTCCCCCAGGTGTTCCCCACCAGGTATTGCCCACAGGTGTTCCCCCTGAGGGGTGGGGGCGGGTTCATCTTGGTGTTCTTCCCAGGTGTTCCCCAAGTCGCCACCCAGGTGTTTCTTGAGGTGTTCTCTCAGGTGTTTCCTCCCATGTACTTCCACCTCCCAGGTGTTCCTTACCCCCGAGGTCACTCAAGAAAAAAGAAACAATGATATATACAAATTTTTGGATATATTTATTAAATGCGATATATATATATATATATATATATATATATATATATATATAATATATATATATATATATATATATATATATATTATATATATATATATATATATATATATATATATATATATATATATATATATATATATATATATAAATTGCTAATGATTGTAACAAATTGATACTGTTGACTTTGTTAAAAGAACTGAATAACCGAGCAGACCTGGAGGTGGGTGCCATTGTATGGTGCCACTGTATTGTGCCACTGCATTGTGCCATTGTATGGTGCCACTGTATTGTGCCACCGTATTGTGCCATTGTATGGTGCCACTGTATTGTGCCACTGTATTGTGCCACTACACGGTGCCACTCTGTGGTGCCACGACATGGTGCCACTGTATGGTGCCACTGTATGAAGCCACGGCGCCAAGAATGCGAAATATTTCTAGTATTTTAGGCATTATAGCTGCCTACAAACACACCATTACCAAACACTAACATCCACATACAGGAAATGATATCAAGTTATCGGTAATAATAACTTACTACACTGACTACTGAATGATATATGGGGAATATTTTTTACTAAAAATAATAATATTCTTATATTAAAATTCCATAAATCAGAGAGAAAATCGTAGCTTTACACGTGAATCCTCTTTGTCGTAGTTTTGTAGACCCACTGTCTACACTGGGTCTACAGTTTATTGGAAGAGTAGAAGTAGACAAAGTAGCAGACGGATATGAGAGGTAGACATCGATCGGTCTTTAGCGTGTGCATAACAAGCTTGCAGCTTGATCCTCGTCCAGGGTGTCCACAACAAGTTAAGCGTGTAAGAGAGTTCTTGCAGTCTTGTGTTGTTATATTCTTATCCACATAATCGACATACAGTTGAACAGATTGAGCAAGAAACATTATGAATTTCAATAGCGGTTAAAATACGAATAACCATTGATTAGTCAATGGTTCGAGTCGGGCAGAAATGCCGTCTTAAGCTTCTGTTTCTTTCGTGCGGGTTATTGGGGTACTGTGCCTTTTTGTTTTTTAACAATGGTTAAAATAATTACATAATGGATATAGGCATCCGACAATGGTAAATTGTGCGGCTTTAATTGATAATAACCCAACAAAGTCAAATATTGTGACTTGATTCTTCCTGGTTCTGAAGATAACGCGATTAGCCTAGTGCACTGTGAGTGTACGTGTGTTGTAGGGTGTAGACTGTAGAGGATAAAAGAAAATGTTAGCAGAAGAACAGGTATACAGAGATGGTGCTGTGTTTAGCGTGTGTAGGATAGATAAGTGTACCAGTAGACCAAGTTAATGCAGAGGAATGATACCGGGAATAACACACGGGATACCTCGTCGATGTGGGACACGGAGTTCATTTGCTCTACCTTGAGGCGGCTTGTCCCTCCTTCCTGCTGTTGCTGCTGCTCCTGCTGCTGCTGTTGCTGCTCTACAGCAGCGTCCTGGTAAGGGAGAAGAAGGTGGGAAGTTAGACAAGCTCACCCGCTGATCTCCAACTACCTCTTAATCTATATTCTAGATTCTCTCTACAATCATGCACTGCTGGATGTCACGACACTTGCTCTATATGTATCACGTGCCCTGATCCTGATGTTACATTTTACAAGCCAGTATAGTTTACATAAATTAACAATGCCCAGCCTTGTATTATTAATCTCTCACATCACGATGATAAATCAAACACACGTGCAACACTTGGGTATATTTACTGTGGAAATGCTTCGCCACACAGTGGCTTGCTTAGTCCAAAACGAAGAGTGGAGACCAGAAGGATGATGCCACTGTGTAGCGAAACGTTTCCACAATATCCTCAAGTGTTGCACATGTATCTAATATATCAACTTGTCGGTTCTCTGGACCATTTATCTGCATACACAACAAATTACTCATTAAAATGAGGGTCACCTCCCGTTGTCCTCTACACAACACTAGGACGCAATCACTGACTGGTAAACACAGAGTCAGCTGTGTTTACTGTCTGGAGAACAGCTATAGTGCCAAATCAAAAGTTAATAATACTTATTCTTAAAATATTTTTTTGCTATTTAGATACGGGGAAACTAGACAATAGTGCTTTAGTGAGGCATTTATACTATAGAAAAGATGGGGTGATAGGAGAGGCAAAATATCCAAAAGATTTCAAGAAGAAAAAGGAACAATACCGTGACTGGAACAATACCGTGACTGGAACAATACCGTGACTGGAACAATACCGTGACTGGAACAATACCGTGACTGGAACAATACACAAATAACCCGCACATATGAGAAACTTATGACGGCGTTTCGGTCCGACTTAGACCATTAACTAGTCGCTCTGTGTGACTAGTTAATGGTCCAAGTCGGACCGAAACGTCGTTATAGGTTTCTATCTCCTATGTGCTGGTTACATGTCTATTCACGGAGAAATTTCAACAATTCTCCTCGAAGCCTTTTTAGGAATCTCCTTTACCGAGGCTATGGGTCCCCACAGTTGCTAATAAGGAATCAGTTTCTTACCATCGCTTCTGGACCGTAAAAGACAATTATCTCCAACTCACAGTGGGACTGCAGCAGGAGTGACGGAGGTGTTGCCTGCTGCGTCGCCTGCAGAGCTGCGTCAGGTTGGAGAGGGAGCTCCACGGTGGACCAGGTATGGAGGTGCTGCCTGCAGCGCTGCCTGGAGGCAGAGCTGGACGCCAGGGTAGAGGAGAAGCCCGTGGCAGGTTGCCCACACCGTTCGGTCCGGATTTGATCAGGTTACTTTCTCTCAACCCCAGAGACAACACCGTGCACGCTACCACGGTCTGGGGGGAGGGGGGTATAGAGGCTGTTATTTGATTGTCTACTTGTCTACTTGATTGTCTACTTGATTGTCTACTTGTCTACTTGATTGTCTAAGTGATTGTCTACTTGTCTACTTGATTGTCTAAGTGATTGTCTACTTGTCTACTTGATTGTCTACTTGTCTACTTGATTGTCTACTTGTCTACTTGATTGTCTACTTGTCTACTCGATTGTCCATCTGTTCAAATGAAGGTTTACTCGATTATGTATTTGATTGTCTATTTCAATGTCTGTTAGACTGTCTACTTGTCTACTTGATTGTCTACTTGTCTACTTGATTGTCTACTTGTCTACTTGATTGTCTACTTGATTGTGTACTTGTCTACTTGATTGTCTACTTGTCTACTTGATTGTCTACTTGTCTACTTGATTGTCTACTTGTCTACTTGATTGTCTACTTGTCTACTTGATTGTCTACTTGTCTACTCGATTGTCCATCTGTTCAAATGAAGGTTTACTCGATTATGTATTTGATTGTCTATTTCAATGTCTGTTAGACTGTCTACTTGTCTACTTGATTGTCTACTTGTCTACTTGATTGTCTACTTGTCTACTTGATTGTCTACTTGATTGTCTACTTGTCTACTTGATTGTCTACTTGTCTACTTGATTGTCTACTTGTCTACTTGATTGTCTACTTGTCTACTTGATTGTCTACTTGTCTACTCGATTGTCCATCTGTTCAAATGAAGGTTTACTCGATTATGTATTTGATTGTCTATTTCAATGTCTGTTAGACTGTCTACTTGTCTACTTGATCTACTTAATCCTATTCTTGATTATCTACTTGATAGTCTATCTGCCTGTCTAGTCGAGTATCTATTGAATGTCTATTTAATTGTTTACCTGACTAGATGTATTTGACTCTGAATTTCATTGTCTGTTCGATTACCTATTTGACCGTGCAAGTGACTGTCTACCTAACTGTCTACTTGACTGTCTATTTGACTGTTTACCCAACTGTCTACTTCGCTGTGCAAGTGACTGCCTACCTAACTGTTTACTTGACTGTTTACCTAACTGTCTACTTTGCTGTGCAAGTGACTATCTACCTAACTGTCTATTTGACTGTCTACCTGTCTACTTCACTGTGCAAGTAACTGTCTAACTGTCTACTTGACTGTCTACCTAACTGTTTCTGACTGTGCAAGTACTACTACTGTAAACTGTACTACTTGACATGTCTACTTGACTGTCTACTGTTAAAATCGACAGCGTAGTTGAAAACTACAAGAAAACAGTGAGGGTCATAATAAAAATAAGTCACCTTGACTTTACTGGGTTATCCTCGGCTAAATATATTCAATATTGTTTTTATTTATCTGTTCCCCTTCTTTACAGGTGAGTAGGAGGTGGTGGAGGGTTGGCCACTGATGTGGGTACTCAAAAAATGTGTTTACTTCTCTCCCCTAGTATCACACTGCTTTGGTTTCCACTCATATATACGATTTTGTTGGGATTTTTAACCCGGGAGGGTTAGCCACTCAGGATAACCCAAGAAAGTCAGTGCGTCATCGAGGACTGTCTTATTTCCACTCTGGTCCTTCAATCTTGTCCCCCAGGATGATACCATACCAATCAACTAACCCAGGCTACTCCTTGCTTGCTAGGTGAACAGGGACATTGTTGGAGGTAGCCGTTCCCGTGTTTCCACCGTTGACTGGGATCGAACCACGGACACTCAGCGTGTGAAACGAGAGCTGTGAACTGTGTCTACCAGGCCACGGGCCACCTGCCCTAAAACCATTACTAGCTTTGGTTCCTAAACCAAATAATATACTTTTTTATGTGTCCATAAAGTCTTTGTGCTGGCCTAGATTTTTACGACTTAATCGCCGCGAATTCGATCCCCACCCGTGGTATGGTTTGTTTATAATCTTGTATTTTTGAGTTTTATAAAATGATTTATCTCGTTAAAATATTTATTAAAATACTTTCACTTATTACTCTAAACTGTGTTAAAGTATAATCTTTCCATTAGAAAAATATAGAGCTCAGTGGTAGAGCTCCAGACTGCCAGGTGAAAGTCTTCATGTCCCGTGGCTTGGTTGGCAACGCACTCTCCTCACACACTGAGTGTCCGTGGTTCGATCCCCGGCACGAATGGAAACATTGGGTATGTTTCCTTACACCTGCTTTCCCTACTCCCCTAGCAGTAAGCAGGTACCTGGGTATTAGTGGGCTGTTGTGTGGGTGGCATCCTGGGGGACAAGATGTAAAGACCACAATGGAAATAAGACAGACAGTCCTTGATGACGCACTGACTTTCTTGGGTTATCCTGGGTGGTTAACCCTCCGGGGTTAAAAATCCCAACACAATCTAATCGTCACCTGAGAACTGAAATGTCAAAGGGGAACCTCATAGGCATGGTAACCTTAGACCTGCAAAAGGCCTTCGATACTGTCAACCACAATATATTATGTAATAAACTTCAAGCTATTGGTATAGGTTCTGTAGACTGGTTTAAGTCTACTTAGCAACAGGAGACAAATAGTCAAATCACAAACAGAATCAGAACCTGCCCATAAACATGTGGAGTTCCCCAAGGTAGTATTCTGGGTCCCTTATTATTCTTATGTTATGTCAATGATATGCCTATCAGTGTCAAGTGCAAACTCCTACTGTATGCAGATGAAGTGCTCTGTTAGTGTCAGGTAAAGACCCACAAGATATTGCTAATGTTTTATCACTGGAACTGGAGTCCTGCAGCAAATGGTTAGTAGACAACAAACTATCATTACACCTAGGAAAACTGAAGCCATTCTCTTTGGCACGAAACATAAACTGAGAAGGGTAAATAATTTTAATGTTCAATGTAATGGGGAGCCCATCACTTTGGTTTCATCAGTAAAATATTTGGGAATCCCCTTTGACCCATGCATGTCAGGAGAATTGATAGGGAACAGTGTAGTAAAGAAAGCGAATGCCAAACTGAAGTTCCTGTATAGACAAGCACAGTGTCTACCTACTGAGGCTCGCAGGACCCTATGTCTAGCCCTTATACAATGCCATATGGATTACGCTTGCTCTTCTTGGTACTCTGCCTTGACAAAAAAACTGAAAGATAGACTGCAAATCACCCAGAACAAAATCGTAAGATTCATCCTGGGGCTGGGACCAAGAGAACATGTAGGCCAGGATGAATTACAGCAGTTGGATATGCTAAATGTTGAAGACAGAGTAAAACAACTGAAGCTAAATCATGTTTATAAAATTGCTCACAAACAATGTCCAGAATATCTTGCTGTCAGTTTTGTCAAGGTTGGGAACCAAAGCAATCATAGTACTAGGGGGAGAGAGCACAACTTTGTAGTACCCACAGTCAGTGGCCAGGCTTCAAACACCTTTTATTGTACAGCAATAAAGGAATGGAACAGACTACCCGCACATGTCAAAGCCAGTCATAGCGTGAACCAGTTCAAGAAGAGTGCCAAAAGGTGTCTGATGAATGTAGCTACAGAAAGGGAGGGGAATGATTTTCTATTTTTTAGCTAACATACGTGTAAATTTTACCTTATTCCTTGTAATGACCCTCGTATTGTAGATAGTCTTAATGACCTTGGTGTAGCAGATAGTCTTTTTAGTATGATAATAAGATGTTATCTTCATTGTAGAATAATAAGAAAATATTATAACCTTTATACTATAATAATAAGGTAAAAGGACCCCAATGGAAATAAGTCACTCTGTCTGACTTTTTTGGGTTATCCTAGGTTCCCTACACATATGCTGCTATGTATGATAATTCTATGTAACTGTATTTGTGTTTACCTGAATAAACTTACTTACTTACTTACTTACTTACCAAAAGTTCCGCAAGATGTTTTAGTTAAGGCTGAAATATGTTAACAATTCGTTTTCTTTCAAAGTCAATACATATGTGTAAGAAAATGGGTAAGCTGGAGGATACACTATTTGTACTTAAGATAAGATACGATACATAAGATTTTGTTGGGTTTTTAGTCCTGGGGGGTTAGCCACCCAGGATAACCCAAGAAAGTCAGTGCGACATTGAGGACAGACTGTCTTATTACCACTGGGGTCCTTCACAAAGACCCCAATAGAAATAAAACATGTAGACAGGTTTTTAAGTCTTACCTGGGGAAAATAAGCAAGTAAGTTTATTCAGGTACAGGTACACATTAATACACTTACATAAATTATCATACATAGCAGCATATGTGTGTGGATTACTTAGGAATAACCCCAAAAAGTCAAAGTGACTTATTTCCACTGGGGTTCTTGGTGGACTTGTGTTTTGGTTTCAGTGAGGTTATCAAAGATAAAGATAAAGGTTTCTTTCTTTGTAAAAGTTACAATGTATACTTACAGTTTTTGTTTTCTAAGTACAAAGAAAGCCACTATTATGCCGGGGCATTTCGGGCAAAGGTTACAAAGGTTACACTGTTTTAACATTTCGTGAGTAACACCCACACGAAATATCCCCACCACCTCACCTTCGCTTCCTCTTCTTCCTCCTCTTCCTTGTCTTCTCTCTCCGTGAGGTACACTTCGCCTGACCCGACCTTCGTGAAGATGTGCACGAAAGCGAACTGGAAGATACGAAGCATTACAGACATGTAAATAAATAACCATATGAATATAAGAATGATGTAGAAATACCTACTGTGTAAGCGAAACATTACGGAATAAAGATACCTAACTGCTGCACATATGTCTTACCTGTCATAATGTATAGTAATATGATAATATTCAAGTGAAAGGTATACTGGTGTGTTTGTCATGGTGTTCTTGGTGAATGTGAGGTGGTCAGGCTTGATGCCAGGGAGGGGTTGATTACTTCAGTTCCCTAGAGCAAGAGCCCTTCTCCTGCTTCAAGGTACCTATTGAAGGGGTAACTAGACGCTAGAACTACCTCATTGATCACCTGGAGTTGATGTGAGTTCTAATTCAACTTAAAACTTAGTCATAATTATGGAATAGTAAAGATAGTGATACGAAAATGCAGTAGGCCTACATATATATTTACATTTGAACTAAATTTAATGTTAATTATTATTTAAAATATAAATACATTTTTTTTTTGAGGTTGTGGGTTGGAGATAACTTGTTTGTTGTAATACCACCGGCTAACTCATGCATATTTTCTGTACCATTATGTTGCTGGAAGGTGCGTTCATTCTTATGTACATTTTCGCCTTGGCGACGATACGGTGTGGAGGTATTACCACATTTAATCTTTTTACATGCTAACCTCTGTCTTCACAAACATTCCTTAAACAGAAACTGGTGCTTTGTTGACATAATGACCTCTGTTTCCACAAGTCAATCCCTGTACAAGAGTTTGCGTTCCTCTTCTGATTACTGGCCTGTGTTGCTTCACAAACTGGAGTTGGAGTCACTACACTTCCTGACATACTAGATTCTGTTACAAGCTGGTCCCTGAGCAGGACGCTGCGTTCATCTGACATACTGGCTTCTGTTACTTTACAAGCTGGTCACTGAGCAGAAGTAACTACATACAAATTAGTCCCTGAGCAGGAGTAACCAGGTACAAACTAGTCTCTGAGCAAGAAGGGACCGTACACATCCTCATATGCTGGCATCTGTACCTTCTCCACATCATGTTCCTTCTTGCCAGTTGGCCTCTTACACGTGTTCTGTCCACGCTGAGTGAACTTCTGCCAGGGACTCTTTTCCTTGGCAGAAGTTTCTTATATATGGGGTTTGTTTGTGTATTGTTCCAGTCACTGTAATGTGCCTTTTACTTATTTTTGCACAGGTGGCTCAGTTAGGCTCGTCTATCCTTCCATTACCATTCTAGCCAGACATACGGCTTTATCCATCCATTACAAGATGTACAGAAATTTTCCAATTTTATGTTGTACATTATTTCCATGCCTTATTAAGGTTTCATATTCCTTTTTTTATTCTTTCTTATATTGACTGGGAACACTTGATATCTTTGTACACAGAATACATTGATAGTAGAAAGAGGTGATTAGTTAGCATATTGAATGCTGAAAGTATGAGAGAGAGAGAGAGAGAGAGAGAGAGAGAGAGAGAGAGAGAGAGAGAGACTCACCTCGATGATGGTGGCGAAGATAAATCCGTAGGAGAGCCAGACGAAGAGGTCGAGGGCCGTGGAGTAGGATACCTTAGGTAGGTCCTTGCGAGCCTCCAGTCCCAGGAAGGTCATCGTCAGGACGGTGGTGATGCCTGCCGCACAGAGGCTAGTGTGTTGACTGCTGTACTGACGAGAAACGGGTGTGTGTGTATACTCACCTAATTGTACTCACCTAATTGTGGTTGCAGGGGTCGAGAAATACTGTAGAAATACTTCCTAACATCCCTTTGACTCGTCTGAGTCTTCAGCATTCCAATTATGATCCCTTGTTTCTGTGTCCCCTCTCTGGAACATCCTGTCTCTGTCCACCTTATCTATTCCACGCAGTATTTTGTATGTCGTTATCATGTCTCCCCTACCCCTTCTTTGTGTGTGTGTGTGTGTGTGTGTGTGTGTGTGTGTGTGTGTGTGTGTGTGTGTGTGTGTGTTTTGTGGTGGTGTTTTTGTGGGTGTGTGTGTGTACAGTGTCAATGAAGAGGAATGTGTTTCTCAGTGTCAGTGGAAGGCGAGCAGACGTTGTTGTCAAGGCCAGTGTTTTTGTCGGCAATTTTGTTATTATGCTTCGATAGTTTCGCTTTTTATCTGATCATCGATTACAATCATGGTCTTAAAATGGATCCTTGTGCACTCCACTCAAATTACATAGTTACTCACTGCATTTTTACTTAACCCCTTCCCCACCCTTTCCCGTTTCTCTCTCTCTCTCTCTCTCTCTCTCTCTCTCTCTCTCTCTCTCTCTCTCTCTCTCTCTCTCTCTCTCTCTCTCTCTCTTTCTACTCACCTAGGGAGATGCGGTCCGAGGTAGCCTCACGGTTGAGCCAGAAAGACACCCAGGAGAGCACCACCAGCAACATGCACGGACCGTACACCTGGATCAAGAAGTTTCCCATATGTCGCTGTAGGTAGAAGCTAGCCAGCAAGGTGGAGAACTCTCCTGGCGGGACCATACCGGCGGTGGGAGAGGGAAGAGCAGGGAGCCGCCAAAGCCAGTTATTGTGGTGGTACAAGAGTGGAGGTATCGGCAGTAGTAGTAGCGGTTGCAGCACAGATTGTGGTGACCACCAAACAGGCCGAGGTGGCAGGTTTCAGAAGTTATGGGCACATTCAACCATCGTCCAGGAAATGGCGAGTACAGGAAGAACATGCAATGAATAATAGTTACAAACATCGGAAGTAAACATGCTTAACATGTGCAGCAGTCGAGATGAGGAGACAATACTACTCAGCAACAGTCAGTATTTGCTTACTTATTTTATGAAAACGTGCTATATATCATTCACGATTAACCCGCATTACGGAAAGAAAACTTTAAACGAAGGAAGAACACTGCAGCAGGCCTACTGGCCCATACTACGTAAAGTCCTATTTTTGGAAGGATCGAAATGACAGCTAAAGTTTACTCTCTAAATTGCTGATTAATATTGAATTGTTCCGTCCACTGTATTGTGGCTTAGTCTCCATGAACACACCAATAAAATTAAAATCTTTGCCATACTGGCTCACACAGCTTTTGGCATCGATTATCTACGACCCTGCGTCCTTGGCATGTCATTGGCCTGTTGTGTTATGCTGGTCCAAGGAAACTAATTTACGTCAGTGTTACAAAGAGGCATCAAGTAAGGGTGGCTGTTAGGTAATCATGAGGTATCCCCGTCTTTGAAATGCTGTCTACATATTTTAACATCTGCTACGAGCTGTAATATCTTCGTAATGGTTACTACAAGGAACGTTACTTCTGTAATGACTGCTATATCATCACAGATATACGTTAAGTCGATAAACAAGGGGCTGGAGAGAAATGGTATAAAATACCTACTCGATGGAAAAATTCTGCTGTAAAATGCGATCCTTTATCGACATCGTTTCGTCCACACAGTGGGCTTTGTCTAGTCATAAACAGATCAGATCAGCCTGTGATAATCTGTTCGTGTCAACAGAGCCTCGCATTTTACCGCATTGATGTCTCTTTTCCATTCCAGAGGTTACTGAAGAAAAGAAAGTTGCAGAGCAAGCATTTATTTTGACAACGTTTTTATAAAACTATCAAGAGCAATATAGAGCGAAACTTTGTCCCAATAAAAGTCTGTGCCACACCATTCTTTTCTCTTCAGTACTGCCTGCAATACACAGTTATATCCAAACATGGAAGGATATGAGAGAAAGAGGACAAGAGAAAGCCCCGGAGTCAACATCGGGGCTAAGTCAACGACGACAGTACAACATAAGAAAACCCCCCAAAAAATATATGAGCCGATATAATGTCTCACGTGTTTTTTTCAGCCAAGAAAACACGACTTTCTGTACAGACTTAGCGTGTTGAAGGCAGACTTGTTCTGATGGCTTCCTATAGCGTAACTTGCACAGCGGCCTGGGACCTTACCCAAGGCGACTCGGTCAGAAGTATCCTCGCGATTGATCCAGAAGGCGACCCAGGAGAGGACAGTGACGAGGATGCAGGGAGCATACACCTGAAGGATGAAGTATCCCATACGGCGCCGCAGGTAGAAGGAGGCCAGTAAAGTGGAGTAGCTGCCTGGTGTGGAGGACACACGACACTCGATATACTATGTGCCTTGTTTCTTGGATGTAGTCTGGGACATTTATTCGCGTTGATGAGGTTACCAGAGACTGTTGGGCATCCTCGGAAATTTTTAGGTTCACTGGGTGACGGCACTACTCATCCTGTGAGTGCCACTCATCCTGTGAGTGCCACTCAGCCTGTGAGTGCCACTCAGCCTGTGAGTGCCACTCATCCTGTGAGTGCCACTCATCCTGTGAGTGCCACTCATCCTGTGAGTGCCACTCATCCTGTGAGTGCCACTCATCCTGTGAGTGCCACTCAGCCTGTGAGATTGTCACTCTGCTTGTGAGTGCCACTCAGCCTGTGAGTGCCACTCAGCCTGTGAATATCACTCATCCTGTGAGTGTCACTCATTCTGTGAGTGTCATCCTGTGAGTGCCACTTATCCTGTGAGTGCCACTTATCCTGTGAGTGCCACTCAGCCTGTGAGTGCCACTTATTCTGTGAGTGCCACTCATCCTGTGAGTGCCACTCATCCTGTGAGTGCCACTCATCCTGTGAGTGCCACTCAGCCTGTGAGTGCCACTCAGCCTGTGAGTGCCACTCAGCCTGTGAGTGCCACTCAGCCTGTGAGTGCCACTCAGCCTGTGAGATTGTCACTCTGCTTGTGAGTGCCACTCATTCTGTGAGTGTCATCCTGTGAGTGCTACTTATCCTGTGAGTGCCACTTATCCTGTGAGTGCCACTCAGCCTGTGGGTGCCACTTATTCTGTGAGTGCCACTCATCCTGTGAGTGCCACTCATCCTGTGAGTGCCACTCATCCTGTGAGTGCCACTCATCCTGTGAGTGCCACTCAGCCTGTGAGATTATCACTCTGCTTGTGAGTGCTACTCAGCCTGTGAGTGCCACTCAGCCTGTGAGTGCCACTCAGCCTGTTAATATCACTCATTCTGTGAGTGTCATCCTGTGAGTGCCACTTATCCTGTGAGTGCCACTTATCCTGTGAGTGCCACTCAGCCTGTGAGTGCCACTTATTCTGTGAGTGCCACTCAGCCTGTGAGTGCCACTCAGCCTGTGAGTGCCACTCATCCTGTGAGTGAACATGCCCCCAAAATGCAACAGAAATGGTTGACAACCCACAATTTGGAGAAGAAACCTAGCATTACCTGTCACCACCTAGCATTACCTTCCACCATCTAATATTACCTGTCACCACCTAGCACTACCTGTTACCACCTAGTATTATCTGTCACCACTTAGTATTACCTGTCACCACCTGGTATTACCTGTCACCACCTAGTATTACCTGTCACCACCTGGTATTACCTGCCATCACCTAGTATTACCTGTCACCACCTAGTATTACCTGCCACCACCTAGTATTACCTGTTACCACCTAGTATTACCTGCCACTACCTAGTATTACCTGCCACCACCTAGTATTACCTGCCACCACCTAGTATTACCTGCCACCACATACTATTGCCTGTCACCACCTAATATTACATACAATCACCTAGTATTACCTGCCACCACCTAGTACTACCTATCACCACCTAGTATTACCTGCCAGTAATACTACAATATTATTGCAGAACCGCAATCTACCATGTTGCAACCCTTGAAACATTGCACAGTTCCTGACTGGGTGATTTCGTTGTTCAGGTTTGCAACTAGTCCCTCCAGGGACTAGTTACAAGGAATACAGTTGAAGGGATTTCAGGCATCCCCAGTTGTATACGGGCAGTGAATGTTCTCTGTATATTTTCTAGCTCAGTAAACTCACTTCAGCCTGGAGAGAACAAGTGTCTTGAGGAGTGTCATCATTGGGTCAGCATCTTTTGCATTGAAAGTTCTAGCTATCACCATATGAAGTGTGTGGGTATATATATATATATATATATATATATAATATATATATATATATATATATATATATAATATATATATATAATTATATATTATATATATTTATTATATATATAATATTCAATAGAATATATATATAATATATATTATATATATATATATATATATATAATATATATTATATATATTTTATTATTATCACACTGGCCGATTCCCACCAGGCAGGGTGGCCCAAAAAAGAAAAACTTTCACCATCATTCACATCCATCACTGTATTGCAAAGGGTGCTTTACACTACAGTTTTTAAACTGCAACATTAACACCCTCCTTCAGAGTGCAGGCACTGTATATATATATATATTAATATATATTATATATATATATATATATATATATATATATATATATATATATATATATATAAATAATTTAATTTATACTTATAGGCTTGTACTGGATATTAAAGTATTCCTAGCAGAAGGTGAAAAGTCTTTAAACCCAGTTAACAAATCATTTCCGACAGGAGAATGCATGTCTGTTAACTGTCACTCGCGGCTGTCTCGACAGAAAGTTTAACTGAATCTGGGATCACGGGACTAAAAATTCACTCATGTTATCCTTGTGATTATACACTCAAGACACCTCCACAAAGACAAGGTTTATCTACACTGCCCTCACTTCGGTGTGTACTTTTCTTTCCATCCGCACCTACAATCCAGGAAATTGGAGGGACTGAATGGTACTCCTACCATCAACGTTCTGTATCTAGTTAGGTGATTACGTCTTCAAGGTTAAATGTCCTGGAATTTGTATTGGTAAAGCCACTGGATGGCGAAACGTGTACAATAAAGATACCCAGATGTTGCATATGTGTCTTAATTTCATCTTGTCGGTATTATATACCACTCTTGCACAACTCTCACAGTGGTGGACCAACATATGAAGCCAGGAGAGCAGTAACAGGAAGAGCTAGCTGCCCACATCACCACAGAGATGTAATCCAGGTGAGGTTCACTATACAATGCAGTGGCTATCACTGCATGCAAGCTTGGGACCGAACTCCCTACAGCTAAGTAAGCGTGCCGCAGATAGCCCACGCTTATTAAAGAACTGGAACATACACAAATAACTCGCACATAGGAGAGAAAAAGCTTATATAAGACATTTCTGTCCGACTTGGACAATTTACAAGTCACACTCACGCTTATTTATATCTGTACATTGTTCCAGCATTGTACCTTCATGGGAAATAGCAAGTACCACCTAGTGTCACCAACCACCACCCAGCACCAATCTACTAGCAGCTACACTGTGAAAAAACAAGCCAGACACTCTAGTAACAAGACTTCACTGGATTATCTTAAGTAAATTCCCCTCCGGGTTAAAAAAAAAAAAAAACGAGCACCAAGTACTCACCTGCGCGTCTGGTAGTGTTCTCGAAGCCAGATGGAGTAGCGATGAGATCGAACTGGGAGAGCATGAGATCGGGAGCTATGACGATGCGACGGTCCTCGTTCCACCTGTACATCACGTCTCTCGTAGTGTAGGCGACTGCTGAGCCAGAGACGCAGGGAGAGATGAAGGTAGAAGTCAAACTGGGTTATCAACACACAAATATCCTAGACAGACACGTTTGCGGGTACTAATACATTTATTGAGGAGACGTTTCATCTCGTTGTTCGAGATAATGGAGTTGAACTCTTTCTTCAAACTGAGGGACTGACCACCTCAGAACTACGTTTTCAAGACTGAGGGATTGATCACATCATCTTTACCTCTCCATTGGTTCTGCTGTCTCTAGGTCACTTTAGAATACGTTTCGTTCGCCAGGGGTTTCTTTAGGACTGAAGAATATTGAAGAACTCTCAGTGAGTGAAACTTATCCCCAGTACATGTCTCAATACCAGTCATTGTTACATGCATGCAGGCCCAGATTGAAGCTCAGGGGCCTCCGCCTGCGGGAGGGCCTCCAGGGGCTGCATCCCAGGGACCTCCACCAGCTGGAGGGCCTCCAGGTGCTGCAGCCCAGAGGCCTCCACCAGCTGGAGGGCCTCCAGGCAATGCAGCCCAGGGGTATCCACCAGCTGGAGGGCCTCCAGGTGCTGCAGCCCAGGGGCCTCACAGTACCTGTAGCCCAGGGGCCTCACAGTACCTGTAGCTCAGGGACCTCACAGTACCTGTTGCCCAGGGGCCTACGAAATCTTAATCCGGCTGTGCATGATGTATGTAAAGATGAATGTTAGAGTAATGTATGTGCAATTATTGGCACATACAGTTGTCCTCTGGTCATTGATATATTGATATTCCAGACTTTGAGTTTCCGTGCGATACCCTGAGAAAACCTCCTGGGGCCTTCTACAAGCTTGAAACAACGGAAGGAGAGAAGGTAAGAACATATATATATATATATATATATATATATATATATATATATATATATATATATATATATATAAAAATATATATATATATATAATATATATATATATATATATTATATATATGTATATATTATATATATAATTATATATATATATATATATATATATATATATATATATATATATATATATATATATAAATAAAGAGAGAGAGAGAGAGAGACAGACAGATAGACAGACAGACGGAGAGAGACAGTGACAGAGAGAGACAGAGACAGAGAGACAGACAGACAGAGACAGAGACAGAAAGACAAAGAAAAAGACATAGAGACAGAGTGAGCCACAGCTCAAGTAACATAACACAAGGTTACATTAGCAAATTGATATTAAACATACCACACTCATCACTCCATGTCTTAGAGCTACCGGGTTACCTTTGCTGAGAAGTGTTAGAGAGTACTCACAGGAGCCGAGTTTGAGAGGGCAGCGCTGAGTATCCATGGGGAAGTTATTCAGGTTCATAGGACAGTTAGCGTTGATGGTGAGTCTGTGGGAGGGAAGAGTGTTCGATCATCCTGGGTAGTCACACCACCAAACATATACAACCACAACATCTTCAGGTCAAAAAATGACCCTTGTACTGGTGGTGACCTGCTTAATAAAAAAACGAAAAATCCATCTGTCAATAATTACTAAATTAAGCAAGGATACCCACTCATCAGTTAACAGAACACTAGCTGGAGTGAAATCGGTCCTGGGACCGAAAGGAATCGAAATCCGATGGCTGAAACGTCTTCAATAAAGGTGTCCAAAGTGAAGGTGTTTATATCTATTTCCCTGGTGTTGTCGACAGTCATTTGTCTCACTACGGCAAGATAGTATTTGTTGACACACTGCTCACCAAGATTTAACTCCCTTATTCTTTACCTGGATCAGTAGAGTATTCCATTGTTTACCTGGATCAGTAGAGTATTCCACTGTTTACCTGGACCAGTAGAGTATTCCATTCTTTACCTGGACCAGTAGAGTATTCCATTGTTTACCTGGATCAGTAGAGTATTCCACTGTTTACCTGGATCAGTAGAGTATTCCACTGTTTACCTGGATCAGTAGAGTATTCCACTGTTTACCTGGATCAGTAGAGTATTCCATTCTTTACCTGGACCAGTAGAGTATTCCATTGTTTACCTGGATCAGTAGAGTATTCCACTGTTTACCTGGATCAGTAGAGTATTCCATTCTTTACCTGGACCAGTAGAGTATTCCATTGTTTACCTGGATCAGTAGAGTATTCCACTGTTTACCTGGATCAGTAGAGTATTCCATTCTTTACCTGGACCAGTAGAGTATTCCATTGTTTACCTGGATCAGTAGAGTATTCCATTGTTTACCTGGATCAGTAGAGTATTCCATTGTTTACCTGGATCGGTAGAGTATTCCATTGTTTACCTGGATCAGTAGAGTATTCCATTCTTTACCTGGATCAGTAGAGTATTCCATTGTTTACCTGGATCAGTACAGTATTTCATTGTTTACCTGGATCAGTAGAGTATTCCATTGTTTACCTGGATCAGTAGAGTATTCCGTTGTTTACCTGGATCAGTAGAGTATTTCATTGTTTACCTGTATCAGTAGAGTATTTCATTGTTTACCTGGATCAGTAGAGTATTCCATTCTTTACCTGGATCAGTAGAGTATTCCATTGTTTACCTGGATCAGTAGAGTATTTCATTGTTTACCTGGATCAGTAGAGTATTTCATTGTTTACCTGGATCAGTAGAGTATTCCACTGTTTACCTGGATCAGTAGAGTATTCCATTGTTTACCTGGATCAGTAGAGTATTTCATTGTTTACCTGGATCAGTAGAGTATTCCATTGTTTACCTGGATCAGTAGAGTATTCCATTGTTTACCTGGATCAGTAGAGTATTCCATTGTTTACCTGGATCAGTAGAGTATTTCATTGTTTACCTGGATCAGTAGAGTATTCAATTGTTTACCTGGATCAGTAGAGTATTCCATTGTTTACCTGGATCAGTAGAGTATTCCATTGTTTACCTGGATCAGTAGAGTATTCCATTGTTTACCTGGATCAGTAGAGTATTCCATTGTTTACCTGGATCAGTAGAGTATTCCATTGTTTATATGGATCAGTAGAATATTCCATTGTTTACCTGGATCAGTAGAGTATTCCATTGTTTATATGGATCAGTAGAATATTCCATTGTTTACCTGGATCAGTAGAGTATTTCATTGTTTACCTGGACCAGTAGAATATTCGATTGTTTACCTGAACCAGTAGAGTATTCCACTGTTTACCTGAATCAGAAGAGTATTCCATTGTTTACCTGGATCAGTAGAGTATTTCATTGTTTACCTGGACCAGTAGAATATTCGATTGTTTACCTGAACCAGTAGAGTATTCCACTGTTTACCTGAATCAGAAGAGTATTCCATTGTTTACCTGGATCAGTAGAGTATTCCATTGTTTACCTGGACGAGTAAAGTATCCTTCCATTACGATAGAGTCGGATGAACTTGTTGGGTGTGGTAATAAGGTGGACATAGCTCTGCTTGCCGTTGTAAATAAAGGTGTCAGGCATCCAGAGCTTGTCAAGTACAGCCAGGGAGAGAGTGAACGCCTCATCCAGGTGGGAGAGAGCCAGGCGCTCATCCACCCACGACTGCCGGAAGTAACAGTCCATGGAGTAAGTCTGGAGGACGGAAAACACGTCTTGATGTTAGTATTTCGTGGACTCGTGCATACCATCTTCTGAAACCGTTAGTTTTTAAACGATATGGAGAAGGTACAAAGTGTTAAGATAATCCATGAAAGTGCGTTGGTTTTCGGACGTACATGCCACACACTACTTGTACATGGTTATTCTTGTTATATTTTCATAATATCGGTTATTTCTAGGCAAAGTAGAGTGAACAAAAAAAAAAAGGCCAAACATTCACCATCATTCGTTCAATCGCTGTCTTACCAGAAGAGTCCGAACATCACAGTATAAATTACGTTCCGAACTGTACGTTCCACTTCCAGTACTCAAGTCCGGCTTACTGGTATCCCTGAATCTTTTTTATAGACGTTACCTTGCTCACACTCCAACAGTACGTCAACTCCCTAAAACCACTTTGTCTCCCCTCACTTTGATCAAACCTGCTCACACAAGCCTATTGGATTACACGGTATATTACATACTTGTGAGAATGATTCACCAACACTCACGTCAGAAAGAAGAGTTTACAAGCACACATACACACACACACACACACACACACACACACACACATACACACACACACACACACACACCACACACACACACACACACACACACACCACACACACACACACACACACACACACACAACACACACACACACCACACACACACACACACACACACACACACACACAACACACACACACACACACACACACACACACACACAACACACACACACACACACACACACATACACACACACACACACACACACACACACACACACACACACACACACACACACACACACACAAACACACACACACACACACAAGCACACAACACACACACACACACAAACACACACACACACACACACACACACACACACACACACACACACACACACACACACACACACACACACCACACAAACAACACACACACACACACACAACACACACACACACACACACACACACACACACACACTCACACACACACACACACACACACACACAAACACACACACAACACACACACACACACACACACAACACACACACACACACACACACACACACACACACACAACACACACACACACACACACACAAAACACACACACACACACACACACACACAAAACACACACACACACACACCCCACACACAAACACACACACACACACAAAACACAAACACACACACACACACACACCACACACACACACACACACACACACACACCACACACACACACACACACACACACACACACACACACACACACACACACACACACACACACACACACACACACACACACACAAAAACATACACAAACACACACACACAACACACACACACACACACACATTAACTTACCATATCCATCTCAGATATCTGACCCATGCTTCGCACCTCTATATCAATCTCCACCGTCGTGGGTTCACCTACAAGAAACAAAGAAAAATAACTTTCAAACAATTCATACACAGAGGAACAATTCACACAATACCGTGGCTGGAACAGTCCACTTTTAACTCTTAATGGGTAGGCAGGGGATACCCTCTTAGTGGGTAGGCAGGGGATACCCTCTTAATGGGTAGGCAGGGGATACCCAGTGAAAAGTCTGTGATAAGAATTGTAAATTTTCCCAGGATTGTGGTTAATAATAATAATAATAATAATAATAATAATAATAATAATAATAATAATAATAATAATAATAATAATAATAATAATAATAATAATAATCTTTATTTCTACAGGTTCTCTGATACAACTTATACAGACCATAGCTGACATCAGTGACACAGCACGGTGTATATAGAAAACCCCTGGTTATGCAGAGCATCTCGGGGCAGCTTAGGTTAATTTTGTCCCCAGGGTGCGATCCACACCAGTCGGTTAACAGCCAGGTACCTACTTACTGCTAGGTGAACAGGGACAGCAGGTGTCTTAAGGAAACACGCCCCAGTGCTTCCACTCGTACCGGGGATGGAGTCACAGATCTCGATTAACTTGGCTTAACCTTAAGTTTCTGTGATCTGGTGGTTCATCTGTCTGACTGGCAATTTTAAATTATAAGTCACTAGATTCGTGTCACTTTATTGAGTTATTACATTCGTCTGGTAATTAAGTATAATTCTTGACAGTAATATTTGATTAATAATATTTGCAACTTAGTTATATGACTGAACCGTCTGGAGACCTAACTGCATTGTCTGGAGACTTGACTGCATTATATTGAGACCTGACTGCATTGTCTGGAGACCTAACTGCATTATCTGGAGACTTGACTGCATTATATTGAGACCTGACTGCATTGTCTGAAGACGACTGGCGTAAGATATGATAGTTTTGTCTTGTCTTAAATTATAACTACATTGTCTTATGATATAGGTAAATTGTCTCAAGTTATAACTGCACTGTCTTTAAAGTATGACAGTGTTGTTTAAGAAGATAACTTACAGAAGGATCGCATTACCTCCAAAGGACGGTCGTAACTTCTGGTCGTAGCCTTTAAGCAAGTTGTCGAGCAAGGATGAGATATTCCTGGTGGGTGTGATCTGACGCACCTCCCCTGACCTGCACTCACGGCAATAAGAGACACAGTGAGAAGATATTTTATATATATATATATATATATATATATATATATATATATATAAATATAAAATTATATATATATATAATATATATATATATAAAGTTCACTTAAAATTTACCACGTTGTAGCCAGGGATTTGAACCCACGTCCTACCTGCCAGCTCCTCTTTCTTTTAGACAGATGGTGCTAGCTTACTGCAGAATGATCAAGTCTTGTAATGAGTATAGTTTTGTAGTGTCCTGCCAAGGGACGGGCAGGCATATAGTGGTGTTCCAACCGCTGGCCACAAAGTTCTCTATGGTTTGTTAAAAATATATCCCAGCATCACATTCACTATATACACTTATTACACCATCATCACTCTCATAATACACTTCACACTGCCCCAATATACACTTCACACTGCCCCAATATACACTTATCACATGCCCCAATATACACTTCACACTGCCCCAATAACACTTCACATGCCCCAATATACACTTCACACTGCCCAAATACACTTCACACTGCTCCAATATACACTTCACACTGCCCCAATATACACTTCACACTGCCCCAATATACACTTCACACTGCCCCAATATACACTTCACACTGCCCCAATATACACTTCACACATGCCCCAATATACATTCACACTGCCTCAACGCTTTCAACAACAAAAACCCAACAACAACAACAACAACTACAACAACAACAACAAAACAACAACAACAACAACAACAACAACAACAACAACACAACAACAACACAACAACAACAACAATAATAATAATAATAATAAGAATAATAATAATAATAATAATAGATGAATGGTTCAGAGAACCGACATGTTGATAAATTAGACACATGTGCAACTCTTGGGTATCTTTATTGAGGAAACGTTTCGCCACACAGTGGCTTTCATCAGTCCATACAAAGGAGAAACTTGAAGAACAGGAGGATAATGAGGTAATCAGTCCCTCAACCTTGAGTCGATGTGTTCAGTCCATCAATCTTGAATAGAATACGGCATACGTGCGGAGAAGCAGCTTATAAACCGTATGGCAGGAGAGGTGCAGCAGTCATAGGTGGTGTCACATTTGTTCAATGTGGAAGTAGGTTGTGCCCAAGAATTAGGCAAGCGAAGAATTCCTAAGTATTAAGATCCCTATGTATGGACTGATGAAGCCACTGTGTGGCGAAACGTTTCCTCAATAAAGATACCCAAGAGTTGCACATGTGTCTAATTTATCAATAATAATAATAATAATAATATCTATATTTGAACAAGTGCCTGCACAAGGGATACAGACCTAGCACAGTGTTCATCTCAGAAAATTGATTTCGTGGGTTGTACATAACACTTTTCCTAACCTTTATGTATCCTGACTTTTATGTACCCATATCTTGTGTTACCCTCCCCTGCTACCCTCCCCTGCTACCCTCCCCTGCTGCCCTCCCCTGCTGTCCTCCCCTGCTGCCCTCCCCTGCTGTCCTCCCCTGCTACCCTCCCCTGCTACCTTCCCCTGCTACCCTCCCTTGCTACCACCCCTGCAACCCCCACTGCTACCCTCCCCAGCTACCTTCACCCTGCTGTCCTCCCCTGCTGTCCTCCCCTGCTACCCTCCCCTGCTACCTTCCCCTGTTACCCTCCCTGCTACCCTCCCCTGCTACCCTCCCCTCTACCCTCCCCTCTGCTACCCTCCCCTGCTACCCTCCCCTGCTACCCTCCCCTGCTGCCCTCCCCTGCTGTCCCCCTGCTGCCCTCCCCTGCTACCTTCCCCTGCTACCCTCCCTTGCTACCCACCCCTGTCAACCCTCCACTGCTACCCTCCCCAGCTACCTTCCCGCTGTCCTCCCCTGCTGTCCTCCCTGCTACCCTCCCCTGCTACCTTCCCCTGTTACCCTCCCATGCTACCCTCCCCTGCTAACCCTCCCCTGCTACCCTCCCCTGCTACCTTCCCCTGCTGTCCTCCCTGCTGTCCTCCCCTGCTACCCTCCCTGCTACCTTCCCTGTTACCCTCCCCTGCTACCCTCCCTGCTACCCTCCCCTGCTACCCTCCCCTGCTACCCTCCCCTGCTGCCCTCCCCTGCTGTCCTCCCCTGCTGCCCTCCCTGTCACCTTCCCTGCTACCCCCCCTGCACCTTCCCTGCTACCTTCCCCTGCTACCCTCCCCTGCTACCCTACCCTGCTACCTCCCCTGCTACCCTCCCTTGCTACCCACCCCTGCTACTTCCCTGCTACCTTCCCCTGCTACCCTCCCTTGCTACCCACCCTCTACCCCCCACTGCTACCCTCCCCAGCTACCCTCCCCTGCTACCCTCCCCTGCTACCCTCCCCTGCTACCCTCCCCTGCATGAACAAGGGGGTACAATAAACTAGCCACTACCATCCACAGGATGAACAAGGAAGTACAATAAACTAGCCACTACCATCCACAGGATGAACAAGGAAGTACAATAAACTAGCCACTACCATCCACAGGATGAACAAGGAAGTACAATAAACTAGCCACTACCATCCACAGGATGAACAAGGAAGTACAATAAACTAGCCACTTCGGCAGTAATATCTAATCTAATTTCGACACAATAATTGTTGAAAGCTCGATCCTCCGTCAAGATAGATAAGATTTCGTTCGGATTTTTAACCCCGGAGGGTTAGCCACCCAGGATAACCCAAGAAAGTCAGTGCGTCATCGAGGACTGTCTAACTTATTTCCATTGGGGTCCTTAATCTTGTCCCCCAGGATGCCACCCACACCAGTCGACTAACACCCAGGTACCTATTTGCTGCTAGGTGAACAGAACAACAGGTGTAAGGAAACACGTCGATATGTTTCCACCCGCCGGGAATCGAACCCGGGCCCTCCATGTGTGAAGCGGGAGCTTTACCGACCGGGCCACTGGGCCACCGGGCCACTGGGCCACCAAGCCACCGGGTCACCAGGCCACCAGGCCACCGGGCCACCAGGCCACCAGGCCACCGGGCCACCAGGCCACCAGGCCACCAGGCCACCGGGCCACCAGGCCACTGGGCCACCAGGCCACCGGGCCACCAGGCCACCAGGCCACCGGGCCTGTGTACACATATACCTGGAGGTTACCTGGAGGTTATTCCGGGGATCAACGCCCCCGCGGCCCGGTCCATGACCAGGCCTCCAGTAAGAGTCTTCTCAGACCTGCTATTAAAGTATACATATACATACACATATACACCCCACGGTGTATATCAATTATGTACACTTGTATTAAATCCAGATGAGGTGCGTTGGTGCTGGTGGAGGGCTCTTGCTCCAAGGATCAGGAGTTTATTTTCTCTAGGATCAAACTTAATTACCTTACACTCCCCTGGCACTGGATGAGCCCCAACGGGTTAGCGTTTCTTGGTGAATAATGCACTTATAGGCTTTTTGCTGTTTTTTTAGTAGGCAGACATAGGCCTGTTGTTGTTAGTGTTGTTGTAATTATTATTATTATTATTATTATTATTATTATTATTATTATTATTATTATTATTATTATTATTATTATTATTATTATTATTTTTATTATTATTATTATTATTTAGAAGAAAAAGCGCTAAACTCGTAGGACTGTCAGCCTACCTGTAAGACTGTCAACCTACCTGTAAGACTCTCAACCTACCTGTAAGACTCTCAGCCTATCTGTAAGACTGTCAACCTACCTGTAAGACTCTCAACCTACCTATAAGACTCTCAGCCTACCTGTAAGACTCTCAGCCTACCTGTAAGACTCTCAGCCTACCTGTAAGACTGTCAACCTACCTGTAAGACTCTCAACCTACCTGTAAGACTCTCAACCTACCTGTAAGACTCTCAACCTACCTGTAAGACTCTCAGCCTATCTGTAAGACTGTCAACCTACCTGTAAGACTGTCAACCTATCTGTAAGACTCTCAACCTACCTGTAAGACTGTCAACCTACCTGTAAGACTCTCAGCCTGCCTGTAAGACTGTCAACCTACCTGTAAGACTGTCAACCTATCTGTAAGATTCTCAACCTACCTGTAAGACTGTCAACCTACCTGTAAGACTGTCAACCTACCTGTAAGACTCTCAACCTACCTGTAAGACTGTCAACCTACCTGTAAGACTGTCAACCTACCTGTAAGACTCTCAGCCTACCTGTAAGACTGTCAACCTACCTGTAAGACTCTCAACCTACCTGTAAGACTCTCAACCTACCTGTAAGACTCTCAACCTACCTGTAAGACTCTCAACCTACCTGTAAGACTCTCAACCTACCTGTAAGACTCTCACCTACCTGTAAGACTCTCAACCTACCTGTAAGACTCTCAACCTACCTGTAAGACTCTCAACCTACCTGTAAGACTCTCAACCTACCTGTAAGACTCTCAACCTACCTGTAAGACTCTCAACCTACCTGTAAGACTGTCAACCTACCTGTAAGACTCTCAACCTACTGTAAGACTCTCAACCTACCTGTAAGACTGTCAACCTACCTGTAAGACTCTCAACCTACCTGTAAGACTCTCAACCTACCTGTAAGACTCTCAACCTACCTGTAAGACTCTCAACCTACCTGTAAGACTCTCAACCTACCTGTAAGACTCTCAACCTACCTGTAAGACTCTCAACCTACCTGTAAGACTCTCAACCTACCTGTAAGACTCTCAACCTACCTGTAAGACTCTCAACCTACCTGTAAGACTCTCAACCTACCTGTAAGACTCTCAACCTACCTGTAAGACTCTCAACCTACCTGTAAGACTCTCAACCTACCTGTAAGACTCTCAACCTACCTGTAAGAGAAGTGGGGCAGGTTCGTCTTGATGATAGGGTACGTCTGGCTCCCACGATGTTTCTCTCTCTCGCTGCCCACTCTGACACAAATAATAATAATAATAATAATAATAATATAATAATAATAATAATAATAATAATAATAATAATAATAATAATAATAATAATAATAATAATTATAATAATTTTCTCTTCATTGTTCATACAGGGATCAACAGGGATTGGTACACATAAGACAGAGAACGTTTCTCCACGTGTCCAGTACCCTTAGTCACTATTAAGAACATAAGAACATAAGAACGAAGGAACACTGCAGAAGGCCTACTGGCCCATGCGAGGCAGGTCCAAGTCCCTACCGGCTTAAGCCAATGCACCCAACCTAGTCAGGTCAGGTCACATTGAGTTAAGGGAGGAACACGGCAACCGACCTGTTAGCACAAGCTATCAGGTCTAACTCACACCCACCCACATCTACTCATGTATTTATCCAACCTATTTTTAAAGCTACACAACGTTCTGGCCTCTATAACGGTACTTGGGAGTTTGTTCCACTCATCCACAACTCTATTACCAATCCAGTACTTTCCTATATCCCTCCTGAATCTGAATTTTTCCAACTTAAAACCATTGCTGCGAGTCCTGTCTAGGCTAGATATTTTCAGCACACTATTTACATCCCTTTATTTATTCCTGTCTTCCACTTATAAACCTCAATCATATCCCCCTGATTCTACGTCTTTCTAGAGAGTGCAGTTTCAGGGCCCTTAGTCTATCCTCATAGGGAAGGTTTCTGATACATGGGATCATCTTTGTCATCCTCCTTTGTACATTTTCCAGAGAATTTATATCCATTCTGTAATACGGTGACCAAAACTGTGCAGCATAATCTAAATGAGGCCTAACCAAGGATGTATAGAGTTGAAGAACAACCTGAGGACTCCTATTATTTATGCTTCTTGATATGAAGCCAAGGATTCTATTAGCTTTATTGCGAACACTTATGCACTGTTGTCTTGGTTTCAGATTACTGCTAACCAGAACTCCTAAATCTTTTTCGCAATCCGTAATATTAAGATCTACATTATTTAGTTTATATGTGGCATGGTTATTGTCCTGTCCAACATTTAGAACTTTGCATTTGTCTATATTAAACTGCATCTGCCATTTCTCCGACCACTGCATCAGTCTATTCAAATCTTCCTGGAGTGCTCGAATGTCCTCGTCAGAATGAATTCGACGGCCTATTTTGGTGTCATCGGCAAACTTGCCGATGTCGCTCTTTATGCCCTCATCTATGTCGTTTATGTAGATTGTGAACAGCAGGGGGCCCAACACTGACCCTGTGGAACACCGCTCGTGACGCTTCCCCACTCTGATTTCTCCCCATTTATGCAAACTCTCTGCTGCCTACCTGTCAACCATGCCTCTATCCAGGAAAAAACTTCTCCTCCTATTCCATGTGCTTTAATTTTCCTCAATAGTCTCTGATGTGGGACCCTGTCAAAAGCCTTACTGAAGTCCATATACACAATATCATATTCATTACCATGATCTACCTCCTCAAATACCTTAGTGAAAAAAGTTAATAAATTCGTAAGGCAGGAACGCCCCTTTGTAAAACCATGCTGAGATTCGTTGATTAATTTATGCTTTTCAAGGTGGCTACGAACTGCCTCGGCAATTATTGATTCCATAAATTTTCCCACTATGGAGGTTAGGCTTATTGGTCTATAGTTCGAAGCTAAGGACCTGTCACCTGTTTTGAAAATAGGTATCACATTTGCCATTTTCCACTTATCTGGCACCATGCCAGTTTGTAGTGATATGTTGAAAAGATTAGCCAAAGGTGTGCTAAGCTCCTCTTTACATTCCTTTAGAACCCTTGCATACAGTTCATCAGGGCCTGGGGATTTGTTAGGTTTTAATTTATCTATTTGCCTAAGGACCATGTCACTTGTGACCCTAATCGTGCACAGTTTATTATCGTCCTGTTCTACATAATTTATCATTACTGGAATATCGCTGGTATCCTCCTGTGTAAAAACTGAGAGGAAGTATGTGTTAAAAATTCTACACATTTCCTTATCACTGTCAGTGAGCTGACCCGAGGAACTTTTGAGTGGGCCTATCCTGTCCCTGATCTTACTTCTGTATACCTGAAAGAATCCTTTTGGGTTAGTCTTCGATTCTCTTGCAACTTTAACCTCATAATCTCTTTTTGCTTTTCTAATTCCCTTTTTTATTTCTCTCTTTAACTGAATATATCGATTTCTTAATTGCCCCTCTCCTCTTTTGATTTGCCTATATATGCCTCTCTTTTGACCAATCAGATATTTTAATCTATTGTTCATCCATTTAGGATCATTTTTGTTTGATCTGATTTCCCTATTTGGAACATAATTTGACTGAGCAGCTAGAACTATGCCCTGGAAAGCATCATATCGGCAACCATCACCACCTACCTGACCCCTAGTCAGGTCATTCCAGTTCAGCCCACCTAAGTAATTTTTTCAGTCCTATGAAATCAGCCAAGCGAAAGTCAGGGACGGAGACTTGATTGCCATTATTAGGGGAATTCCATGATATGTTAAAACTGAGTGATTTGTGATCACTCTCCCCAAGCTCATCATTAACCTCAAGATTATTAATTAGTGTTTCCCTACTGGCAAGAACCAAGTCAAGGAGGTTATTTCCCCTAGTTGGCTCTGTCACAAACTGTTTTAAAAAACAATCCTGGATCGTATCAAGAAAGTCACCCGACTCTAAATTTCCTGTCAAATTGCTCCAGTCAATCTGTCTATAGTTGAAATCTCCCATTAGCACAAACATTTTCGTATGTAGATGCCTTACGAATTTCGTCCCATAGAAGTTTACTGCACTCCCTATCAAGATTTGGGGCCCTGTAAATCACACCCAAAATTAGTTTTTCTCGGCCCTCGAGAAGCTGTAACCAAACAGATTCAGTGGCTGACGCTTCTAATTTAATATCTTGTCTAACACAACAATTTAAATTGTCTCTGACATACATCGCTACTCCACCACCTTTCCTGTTGACCCCTGTCAGTGTGGAATAATTTATAGCTTGTATGTGACATTCAGAGGGCATCTCTCTATCTTTCAGATTGAGCCAGGTCTCTGTTATAGCAATAATATCTATGTTTCCTGCACTTGCAATTAATCTTAGCTCATCTATTTATTTCTAACACTCCTGCTATTAGTATAGTAAACCTTAAGGGAGCTAGTCCTTGCTGCCCTCTGCTGTCCCCCTTTGTTTGCTGACCTGTTCTATTGTCTTTATTTATAACTTCATGCTGAATGCCTTTTATACATTTAATGTTTCCAACCCTAGTGTTGCAACCTGCTTGTTTCCCACACACACCCATACCTCTATCTTCCATCAGTTTAAAATCATAGGCATTTCACCAATGGCCTTCTCAATCGAGTCTGCAAGTGCTACCACCCCTGCCCCAGAGAGATGAACCCCATCCCTTGCATACATATCATGTTTGCATAAAAGTTGTTCCAGTTGTCAATGAATGGGATTGCAAGCTCCTTGCAGTATCTGTCTACCAGCAATTTACACCAATTGCCCTAGACAACCATTCATTTCCTACTCCCCTTCTAGGCAAGATGCTACATATGATTGGGATCCCTCCCTTAGACTTAATGAAATCTATAGCTGACCTGTACTTATCTAGCAGCTCTTCTCTCCTACCCTTCCCAATATCATTTCCACCAGCACTGAGACAGATAATGGGCTTGTTCCATTACCTGACATGATATTATCCAGTCTGTTGACAATGTCCCAACACCAGCTCCAGGGAAGCACACTCTATCTCTCATCTTCTTATTCCTATTACAAAAAGCACGGTCAACATATCTTACCTGAGAGTCACCAACCACAAGAATGCGCTTACCTTCATTAGCAGGGGCAGTAGTACCCTTACCTTCACTGGCCACTGAAGTACATTCATCCTGGAGAACAGAGAAGCGATTTCCTACCTTCAGATCTTCACTCTTAACTTTCCTTACTCTGATGCGCCTCCCATTACTGTGAACAACTCGCCACTTGTAGCAGGTGCTGGGCTGCACCTCACTGCTGGTAGCCGTTGCTACCGCCCCACCTACAGCCTCCTCACAGTGAGAGACAGACTGCACCTCACTGCTAGAAGCCTCATTCCCCACATCTCCAACCACCTCACACTCTCTCCCAGGCCCATTGAGGTGGACCTTCAGCCTCCTAATCTCCTCCTGGAGAAGCAAGACCTCCTCCTTCAACTCTCCAACCTCAGTTTTTAAAACACTGCAGAAGCAAGCCATTGCGTGGGGATACAGTATCCCTGCTCACTATTGTATGGTGATACAGTATCCCTGCTCACTATTGTATGGCGATACAGTATCCCTGCTCACTATTGTATGGTGATACAGTATCCCTGCTCACTATTGTATGGCGATACAGTATCCCTGCTCACTATTGTATGGTGATACAGTATCCCTGCTCACTATTGTATGGTGATACAGTATCCCTGCTCACTATTGTATGGTGATACAGTATCCCTGCTCACTATTGTATGGCGATACAGTATCCCTGGTCACTATTGTATGGTGATACAGTATCCCTGCTCACTATTGTATGGTGATACAGTATCCCTGCTCACTATTGTATGGCGATACAGTATCCCTGCTCACTATTGTATGGTGATACAGTATCCTGCTCACTATTGTATGGTGATACAGTATCCCTGCTCACTATTGTATGGTGATACAGTATCCCTGCTCACTATTGTATGGTGATACAGTATCCCTGCTCACTATTGTATGGTGATACAGTATCCCTGCTCACTATTGTATGGTGATACAGTATCCCTGCTCACTATTGTATGGTGATACAGTATCCCTGCTCACTATTGTGTTGAGATACAGTATCCCTGCTCACTATTGTATGGTGATACAGTATCCCTGCTCACTATTGTGTTGAGATACAGTATCCCTGGTCACTATTGTATGGTGATGCAGTATCCCTGGTCACTATTACATGGTGATACAGTATCCCTGGTCACTATTGCATGGTGATGCAGTA